AGGCCACAGGCCCATAGCACAGAATACATGACAATGTGGAAGCGGTCAGAAATGTTACAAGGATTCATTTCTTAATAACATGGCATGATATATAATGAGAGATAGATTTCATATAGCCGTTTTGCTGACATGTGATATTAAAGAGATAAACTTGTATTTATTTGGATGTACATAGTATTTTTGTTCAATATATTTTTTACAACATACAAGTGAAAAGTGAAATTCATCTTTGACGACATTTAAAGAATATTGTCTACATAATCTTAAACATTTGGATATTTTTTTGTGCCTGCCAACTTCAACCATTAACCTGTGTGAGCTGCATCTAAATTGTGTTAATGATATTCTGCATTTTCTTATATTTACTTCAGTTAAATAATTTTCTGTGCATATTTGCATTTTAAAATATCTATAATAAATTCGCATTTGCTAGAAACATTTACAGTAGATCTCCATGTTTGAAAGTACATGTCAAAAAGCGTCTGCCTTATTTTCGATATGAACATGGCATGATTCTCAAAGAAACATTGGTTGTCCCAGATGTAACCATACCCACATTTATACAGTAGACATTTAACATTGTATGCCCAATTTTGATCTCCATTCTTTTCATACAATAGCATCATATTATAACATTTTTGCGGCAATCTACTTACTGGCATTTTTAGTAATTTTAACCAATATCTTATGATTTTTATATTGTGGTATAAATACAAGGGCATGCGACCACATTCACCATAAACCATTACGTTAGAAGTACTGTGTTCAACACCAAGAAATCTTTTGCATGCGTGTAAATGTATGTAATTGTCCCCGAAAGTACCACCTTTCGTTTTTTGACAGCATATTTCCTTTGCTAAAGTCCCCACGTATCACAGTACAATTCTAGCTGATTTATCAAAGTTTGTAAACCTTTTACTGTACTTGAGAACATGATTATATCATCTGCAAATAATAACATAAATATTTTTTTAAGTTCAGGATGTAATTGTATACCATCATCATAATTTCTTTTGATTTGGGCTGCAAGCTCATTAATAATTTTTAAAAAACAGTACAAGAAAGGGCTTAATACACATGCTTGGCGTACACCAGTATGGCAGATAAAAGAATCTGAATACATGCCTTTTTGCTTAACACATAATTTAACTTCCTTATGAATACCACATAACAATTTACCCATTTTATTACTGACATAAATACCATAATTTGTCTCTACAGACTGAATCGAATGCTTTAGAAAAAGTCTACAAACATAGCTTACAATTTTCTATGTTTACGTTGAATATAACTATCTATTAGAGCCTGGAGGATAAACATATTATAAGTGGTAGAGTAACCTCGTCGAAAACCTGCTTGCTCTTCCTTATCTTATCAAGTGTATCCAACCACAATACCAAGCGTTTATTAATAATGCTAATAAATATCTTGCTGAATATATTGGTAAGTGTAATCCCCCTATATTTTTCAACATCTGTCACCGAGCCTTTCTTGTGAATTGGAACGATAGTTTCTAGTGTCAAATCTTTTGGAAAGTAAGAGGTATCCATTATTGTATTAAATAATATTTCCAAATACGACAGGGTGTTATCAAGAGAGTATATATTCTGTTATGAGTCTATCAATTCCAGGGCTTTTCGAGTTTTCAGATTTTGAATTGCAGATTTAATTTCTTCTTTTGAGATTGGGGAATCAAATATTTCCGTTGCAAGTTATTTGTGGAATCATCACCGCTAAAAAGGTTTTTGAAGTAATTAAACCACTCATGCATTTCTATGTTACTTTTAGTTTCCTTCTTTTTGCTAATGCTTTTCAAAGTCGTCCAAAACTGTTTTGATGAGCTGATACTTTCTTCTAGTTTTTTGTCTGCTTCTGACCGCCTCCGTGGTCTAGTGGTAGAGCGTCCGCCCGGAGAGCGGAAGGTCCGGAGTTCGATCCCCGGCTGGGTCATACCAAAAGACGTTAAAAGATGGTACTTGTTGTTACCCTGTCTGGCACTCGGCATTAAGGGGCTAAAACAAGGACTGGTCGGCTGGGAGTCAGTATACTGTGTCTGAGTGGGGTATTCATGTTAAACTGCGGCCTGGTATCTCAGTGAGCTAGCATACAAGCAGTCACACACACACACACACACACACGTGCATGCACGTCGTTATATAAGTGCAATAATCTTGGACGCGACGTGAAAACCCCATTTCACCTTACCTTGTCTGCTTCTGTCCATGAAAATTTGTTTCTTTTTTCTGCAAGTAGCTTTATACTTATTTTTCGAATCAGTGTACTTAGCAAGTGAGTCTTTATCCTTTAATTTCCTGAAATGGTTTAAAAGAGTGCATCTTTCCTTCTTTAGCAACTCACATTCCCAGTCAAACTGATGTTTACTTGTTCTGTTAGGGGTTACTTCCCTTTTCATTACATTCCCTGCATATCCAATAACTTCTGTTAAGAATGATACACTTTCATCAATATTTGTAAAAACAGAATCAATAGCTTATTTAAGAGTCATGCGAAAGTGTCTGATAACAGACGTTCTTGGAAAATGTCTGCTTTGCTGTTAGCGCACTTAAACATTGAATGACTATGGAAGGCGTTATCAAATGATGGATTTCCTCATGAATGATATTGTGATAGACAGGTGGTGTGACTCGTGGCGTGACTTAATATCAAAATTTTGGCACAGGTCAAATATATCTATGGTGCTAATAATGTAATTGATAACACGAGCCCCAGCATTGCCAACAAATTTAAAATCACCTTCCTGGAATCATTTCCACGGCGGCCATTCATAATGTGTACATTTAAAACAGCACATTAATAAAACATTTTCCAAAGTTATTAAGAACAGTATCGTTTGAATATCTACACAGATTAAACCTATCAATAGAAAGTCCCAGTATGAAGTATCCTGGCTTTTGAGATATTCAAGTATATCATCCTCTACATAATCTGGCTCTTTGCCAGTTCTTGCATTAAAGTCACCCCTTAAATGCAGGAAACGTCTCCAACATCACCAACATCACCAACATCACCAACATCACCTAGGATGTCAAGCAGTTCATCCTGAAATCGCAATATTCCGTTTAAAGATCCAACATTACTGTCGTACCATGTATATCCTTCTGGGGGAACATACAGACAGCAGTATAACACATGTTTTATTAAGTCCAAACAGTGACCTGTCAAGTAATATATACATATAAAGATATAACCAATTGCTGTAATCCATGAGTTTTTAATATAAGTAACAAGATTCTTTTTTACGAGAACACAAATTCCACCTGAAGGTCTTCCAAAATTTGCTATCTTGTCTGCTGTCTTAATGAAGTTGGTATATTTGCAGAACATATCCTCAAAATTCAGTATCTGGGTCCATGTTTCTGTCAAACTAATTATGTCAAATGTTTTTAAGAATGATAGACACTCACAGTCTGATAACTTTGAGAGCAATCCTGATATATTCCAAAACATGAGTTTCACAGCATTAATGATACTACAAGTAGGTTCAGACGACGACCCCTGTATATCCAGGCCCTGGCCACACCCCTATCTCCTCTGTGTCGGTCTCCCACCCCTGCCTGCGTTACCTCTGTCGGCCCGATGTTGGTTGTTTCCGTCACGTGACTCGGGTCACGTATCATGTACAGGAGCAGACGACACTTTGCCACCTTTATAGAAATAATGTTTGCTTGGGTCTTTCTCTTTGCATTGTTTTATTTCTTGTCTCTGGTTCATGGTCAGGTCATTTGCTATACCGTAGCCTCTGGACTTAAGAGAACCCCTCAAGTTCAGAGTCTTTGTTTTATCATCTCAATGAACCATTTTTGCAATAACTGTGCATGGTCAGTTTGAATCATTGATGTTACTAAAAATATTTTGTTTTCCAGTCTTCTAATCTCTGTCTGAACTCACATAAAAAATGAAATATCTCCAACATCTTGACTAACCCATGCATATCAGAAACCATACGTGTTTAGCAATAATCTTATACAAGATGCCCATATCTTCCATCCTGCTGAATCTAACTTCCAAGTAGGTAACGTTGCTTTGGATAGAGATCATCAACATCTTAACAATGTTTGGTAGTAATCTATACAAAGTCCATGTCTACCACAGTCAGCTAAGGTTGCACTTCTCAATACATGTTTGCCAACAGCAACATATTTCTTTAATCCGTTAACGTTCCAACACATTATAGACAAGTCCTAGGTGTTGTCTATTTCATTGTCACTCAAGACCCTGCCACATTCCTCTCTGTGTTGATTGGCGTTGAAATTGACATGGGGTTGTGAGTCTGCATGTGTCGTTCCTGCCCCATTGTCAGTCTGATTCAAAACAACAACCTCACCTTTGTCTAGATCATAGGTGTACACACATCTGTCAATATTCAACTTGTCAAATCTTTGATAAGCTCGTTGGTCATTTCTCCTGGCCTCCATCATCAATTTCAGATGTCGCCTCTTCTCTCTCACACTCCTCGAGAAGTCTTCGCTAGTCCACGTCGATGTACCCTTTTATTTCTTAGCTGATGTAAATATTTCTCGTCTCTGGTGATCATCGGGGATTAAGGCTATTATCACCTTCCCTCCCATGATCCTGTGTGTTCAATCTATTGCTGTCTTAGAATCATCAAGTTCCTGACGATCTTTTAGGACTCCTCTCACTACCGAGTCACTATCATCCCAGGTTTCAGTTTGTCCACATTCGGCTACACCATGAAATATCACATTTGATCGTCTGCTTTGATTTTCTCGGTAGTCCAGTTTGTCTTCAAGTCTACAAATATTTTCCTTCATTTTCTTATTTTCCAACTCTAAATGTTCACATCTCTCTTCAACAATACATACCAATCTGTAGAATTTGAATAGATGTATTGACATTGTCCAACTTATTATAAGTGCCTTGCTGGATTCCATGATGTCGTTGATTTTAGCATGGATCTAATAGTCAAATTCAGCCAAGGGAACTCAAACATTTTAACATACACTTATGTTTAATTCCAGACTAAACCACCCAGGGGAGCATCAACATGGCTCTGAGAGGAATCCGAGTCCTGGAGATGGCGGGGCTGGCACCAGCCCCCTTCTGTGGAATGGTGCTGTCTGACTTTGGAGCTAACATCATCAGAATTGACAGGGTAACTTCTAGGGCTTGAATTCAATTCATGAATTGAATTCGTTATTTGTGATCACTAGAATCGAATATTTTTAAATATGCAGCCATGAGCAATTACATACCTTGTCCCTTAAAATATCCCTAAAAATATCTAATATGCATAGATTTCTTTAAAGGCAACACTCTTATATATTTAGTTTGACAGTAATGTAGTCACTGGTCATTGTCACATGTGAGCAGATACTAGTACCTGGATAAGTGCAGTAAATAGAATGTATTATAAATAAATAATTAACAAACTATGTCAAATAATTTATGTTATTCTCTCACTGAATATGATAAATAATACATCAACTGCTGACATGTTAGTGTAATCGTGAATAGATATTCGTATTTGTTACCCTATATTCATGATACGAGTCGTATTCGCCTCATAGTGTATTCGTTGCACCCCTAGTAAATTCAGATCATTACTGCAAAATGTGTACATGTTGTATTTCACTGATGAAGATCTTAATAGTTTACTAAATATCACATGTATTGTGCACATTGTGTCGTAACTGCAATGCACATACAGTAAACTATGGTTATAACAAACTCAAAGGACCACAAAGTTTAGTTCGTTAGAACCGTAGTTCGTTATAAGCATATGTTCAGCATATATACAGCAAATGGCCGGGACCAATAAAATAAGTTTGTAATAGCCATCAGTTTGTTATAAGATATATATAATATATTGTTATATATATATACGTCTTTGAAAATATAAAACAGAATAGGGCGACTGTACATTGGTGAGGTGGGAACATCTACATGTAGTAGTATTCATACTGATGGCTAATCCGCCTTCCCAGGATCAAATATTAATGGTAGTAATCAGCCACCACATGTCTCATGGCACTGTTAACGTCTGTCTTATTCAGGATTGACCGATGACTATAGGCATGTGTCAGGAAGGAAGAGCTGGGTGGTGCTGGCTGAATCCAGAAATTCAGGGAATGGAAATTAGTTACTATTAAGATGATGCTATTGAGAAAAGGGTTAGGTATGACTCGTTTCGTGTGACTGAAACATTTATTTCGGAAGGAGGCGATAAAATTATCATCGATCATATTTTGTTAGTTGTCCAAGAGGGTTGCAGGAATTCCAACAGTTGCTTCTGCAAGAAAGGTTCTCTCTGTATTTTGGAAGTTGAAATCACTGAAAGTTAACTTTAGACTTGATAAGAAGTACAATCACACACTTCAACACACTTCTAGTCATGTGTTGTTTTTAGAAAAGTCAGGCAACTGAAACACATGAGGACCCAGCTATTGTGTGTAGATCCAATCACTGGACCAAATACGAACCCCAGAACCAAGGAGTGGTGGGAAAAAGTGGTCGGGGCAATTATGAATAATGGAATGACATGAAATCTAACAGCTGGAATGTATGATTTTCTGCACGACATTATCTTGAAGATGTGGGCAAGTGACAAGTTTATCATATAATATATGTTTTCAGATGTTCATAGGGGGGCATGGGTGGCCCAGTCGTCTTAGGCGCCGCGATTCGCTGTGCAGAGTTGCGTCCTTGGGCACGCCAGGAACCTATGATTTTGGGTTCGAATCCCAGTTCGCCCCGATTATGTTTCTAGGTTTGTCAGCACCATACCCGTGCTCGTTGGTTTCACTGAAGTGGTAAATGTCTAAGACCTGCATCACTTCAGGATTTCCTCCCACATTAAGATGAAATGCCACAATATAACTGGAATACTGTTAAAAGCGGCATTAACCCCAACTCACTCACTCACTCGCTAGTTTGTCATACTTAGTAATGTAGTACATTTTGAGACATTTTCTGTCTCACACCATGCAATTCTTCCGTCTTCTTTCGATTTTTATATTGAAACGTGCTTGAACAAAGTTTCCAGCTTCTAAAAACATATAAGACATCCCAGCATCACCATGGTCACCGCCCCAACAAATGGATCACCCACTGTAAACGATTCGATCAGTAAATAGTTATGAGTGAAGGTATGCAAACTGAAAAGGCAACACTGGGTAATTGCGTAGTGTTGTCATACTACTGGCATTTTGACATTTGTTTGCGTATTTGTTCGAGAGAAACTGAAAATCAATGGGATTATTGTGATTTATTTTGCGTATTTCTGGAGTTATTGAAACATGTTGAGAATGCCAATACTCGATGTAGACAAAGACATGCTAAAGTGAGCCTGTGCCGGAAGTGTCCCTGTGCAGTTAATGTTGGATCTATTCCTGACCATCTTCCCAAGGCATGGGAGTTAAGTGACTGTAAAAGTCCATTTTCCATGTTTTCCACCTTTGCCGAACAAGGCAAAAAGTTCTGGTTTAGATCAAAGGTCTTCCACTGGCTATCATTACTTATGTCCCTTCTAGGTTCCTCCTACTGACCAATCAGATTCCACCTCTCATATCACTTGTATTTGCTTCAAACAAAATAGCGACACCCAGTCAAGACGATCTGAGCGATAATCAATCACTATATTGTAGTAAAACTGGCCTTACCTTGCGAAGTGCATCAAATCACTTGAGCACCAAAATATGACTTCATAATTGCAGTTTTGTTCGGCAAGGGTGGAAACTGGACTTTTACAGTCAGTTAACTCCCTTACCTCAGGAAGATGATTACTGACCTGTAGGGGTGACTATTGGTCTGGAAATCACTATTGCGATAACTATTGATATTGAAAGAAACTATTGCAATAACTATTGATATTGCAAGCAACGATTGCGATAAATATCGATAGTTTTCAGTGTATCATTTTAGATGGATTTTGGAGTTGAATTAAACCTTTGAACTGACTTTTCCTTTGAATGTGATAACAACAAATAAAAAGTAAAGTTTGAGATATGACTGATTTGTTTTCACATTACCCTAATAACTTAAGAAAAAGAAATTTCCACATTACCATGTGTAAATTACTACCACTCATGATCAAAAGAAAAACAAATTTGAACAGCAGTACGTGTATTTTATTGATATGGTAAATACAATCGAAGCTATCGATATTCCTAACTGAAATCGATACTATTGATCAGAAACTGATTTAACAATCGATTTATTGATTTTAAGTGCTTACCAATAGTAATAAATCGATATTTCGATTTATCGTGACACCCCTACTGACCTGCCTCCCCATCATCAGAAAGATTACCTTTACCATAAGCAATCATCTTGTGTGCAAGGACAATACCAGGATGATGAAGTATGTCCGCCTTCGGTCACAGAGTCACACACTGGTTGCAGTATATCAACATGTGTGCCAGAATGGACAGCTGTTACAATGCTGCTTTAAGATCATCAAATCACACTGTGCCTGTATTGATGCACCATTACAAACATTCGAGGTCCACTACCAACGAGAAATAGACCACCAACACAGCCTGTGACTTGTGTCCTTAGCCCGAGTTGAGTAACATTGTGTGTCCTGTAGCAAGCTCAGCTCACAATAGCCTCTATATTCACATTAAACCTATGTTCCTCTCAGAGGGTTAAGTCTAAAATTTATATCAGATTACATACAATCTCATAGAATTATGGCCACATTAGCATGGAATTATGCCTGCCATTATCTTTAGCTGGTCCTGATGTAGGTCTGGTGTATGTAAAGGTGTGTCTGATGTTATATATGGGGTGGATGTAGTTCAGGTGTACGTAAAGGTGTGTCTGGTGTTATATATGGGGTGGATGTAGTTCAGGTGTATGTAAAGGTGTGTCTGATGTTATATATGGGGTGGATGTAGTTCAGGTGTATGTAAAGGTGTGCCTGGTGTTATATTTGGGGTGAATGCAGTTCAGGTGTATGTAAAGGTGTGTCTGGTGTTATATTTGGGGTGGATGTAGTTCTGGTGTACGTAAAGGTGTGCCTGGTGTTATATTTGGGGTGAATGCAGTTCAGGTGTATGTAAAGGTGTGCCTGGTGTTATATATGGGGTGGATGTAGTTCAGGTGTATGTAAAGGTGTGTCTGGTGTTATATTTGGGGTGAATGCAGTTCAGGTGTATGTAAAGGTGTGTCTGGTGTTATATTTGGGGTGAATGCAGTTCAGGTGTATGTAAAGGTGTGTCTGGTGTTATATTTGGGGTGGATGTAGTTCTGGTGTACGTAAAGGTGTGTCTGATGTTATATATGGGGTGGATGTAGTTCTGGTGTACGTAAAGGTGTGTCTGGTGTTATATTTGGGGTGAATGTAGTTCTGGTGTACGTAAAGGTGTGTCTGGTGTTATATTTGGGGTGGATATAGTTCAGGTGTACGTAAAGGTGTGTCTGGTGTTATATATGGGGTGGATGTAGTTCAGGTGTATGTAAAGGTGTGTCTGGTGTTATATTTGGGGTGAATGCAGTTCAGGTGTATGTAAAGGTGTGTCTGGTGTTATATTTGGGGTGAATGCAGTTCAGGTGTATGTAAAGGTGTGTCTGGTGTTATATTTGGGGTGGATGTAGTTCTGGTGTACGTAAAGGTGTGTCTGATGTTATATATGGGGTGGATGTAGTTCTGGTGTACGTAAAGGTGTGTCTGGTGTTATATTTGGGGTGAATGTAGTTCTGGTGTACGTAAAGGTGTGTCTGGTGTTATATTTGGGGTGGATATAGTTCAGGTGTACGTAAAGGTGTGTCTGGTGTTATATATGGGGTGGATGTAGTTCAGGTGTATGTAAAGGTGTGTCTGGTGTTATATATGGGGTGAATGTAGTTCAGGTGTATGTAAAGGTGTGTCTGGTGTTATATTTGGGGTGAATGTAGTTCAGGTGTATGTAAAGGTGTGTCTGGTGTTATATTTGGGGTGAATGTAGTTCAGGTGTATGTAAAGGTGTGCCTGGTGTTATATTTGGGGTGGATGTAGTTCAGGTGTACGTACAAGTGAGCCTGGTGTTATAGTTGGGATGTTTGTTTTCAGACAAAGAACCCTGTTGACTCCGACCGCTTAGCTCGCGGAAAGAAGTCAGTAGCTGTTGACTTGAAGCAACAGAAGGGAATTGAAGTGGTCAAAAAACTCTGCTCAAGAGCTGATGTGCTTATTGAACCATTCCGGCCAGGTGAGACATGTCTCGGTGTCCAAGAAGGATAAAACCATGGCAGTTCTTTTGGGAGTGGGAGACAAGAAATAACAAACCCTATAAGCTGATCAGCCTGAGCTTGTCAGTCGTGTAACAGCAAACTGTGTATTCTGAAGTCTATTAGTGTATTATCCTTTAATCAGAACCGTCATGTCAACATTATTAGAGCATATTACAATCTCAATAAATTCAGATCTTAGTTCTGGCCACAATTTAACCTAGATCTGAGGACATCCCATTATGGGGCATGTCAAGACGACCTTTCGCGAACTTCGACCGTCCAATGGAGAGCCTGACAAGATGCTTTACAGCACTAGTTTCAAACTGGCGACAACAATTTGAAACATTTTGACAAATTTTCAATTAAAATTTGAAAACAAAACACACAAACATTCTGGAATAGCTAATAGATGGCCTAGATTGTAAGGATTCAGTCATAAAGCCTGTAACTGGCGTTCAGAGTACCCCGTGTTAAATCTGTTGAGGTTGCATGATGAGAAATTACATCCTGACTGTCACTTTCATAATCTGGTAAGCGATGCTGTGATTGGTCAGATGAAAGGTCGTTGTGACATGACCCGTAATGGGATGTCCTCAGATCTTTGTTTAGCAGTAGTGAGAACTAGGATCTGATGTTAATGTGATTGAGCAGATAATTATTAGTATATGAACTTGATCTAAAAGTAACAAGAAATATAATTGTTTAAGTTTTGCTCAAGTTGAAAGCTTCTATGTTATAAAGCCAGACCAATCTATTTTCTTGTTTTTAAAGTTTTCTTAGTTGTCAGGCAGCAAGATATATAAAAGACAAAAGTCCAGGTTCATTTGAGGTAAATTTTAAATATGTACTCTGAGATATCCTAAAGTAAATGCTTTGAATATATACATACATATTTATCTTACTTACACTAAAATACTAGCTTCTGATTGGTTAAGGAGCGGGTAGTTATTATCCCCCGCCCAACAAAGTTGGCGGGGGATATAGAAACGGGCTCCATCCGTCACATTTCGTTTCCGGAGCATAACTCAGAAACCTTTCAATATTTTTTCATGAAACTTTGCAGGTCTGTTAAGTACATGCTGAACTGGTGCCTTTTGCTATTTAGAAATTTTAGAAATCTTTATTTTTTATGTTTCCATGGCAACAAGATGGACTTAGGTTCTGTGAGGGTAGGGTTCGTTTCCGGAGCATAACTCATAAACCGTTCAATATATTTTCATCATTTGTGACCTTGACTCAGCCGATGATGCAGGTCAAAATGACACCTCATACTGGTCGAGCCGTCGGGGTACATCACACCATATACCCATCGAGATCAGTTGATAACTCATGATGTACAAATGAAATAAAAGTATAATTGCCAGTGTATCTGTAACCACCAAGTTGTGTTGATATTGCCAGCAGGGAATGGGTACCCGATTTCTGAAGTTGATGTAAAAACCTTCTGGTGCCCCTTGGCAGCCCCGGTTGTATACTACCTAGGGAGTTGAGAATGATAACTGGAATGCAAACGGATCCACTGGTCGGGGAACAAATAAAACCGCATTTGAGCAGATACAAGTACCTGGGTACCTGCGGTATATAACTGTATAATAGTAATAGTAATAATAATAACAATAATAATAGTAAAAGTAATAATAATAACAATCAGCAGTGGTAGAAACTAGTCCTTATAATGATAACATGTAGCAAAACCTGTAAAAATGGCAAATTTCTATAAGTCCTTATGATACCTTAACTATTGGGCAGTTTGGCAAGGACTGTAGGACGAGTGCCAGTGTCTAACACTGATCAGTATTGCTGCTGCTGTGCAGGTGTGATGGAGAAGCTGGGTCTCGGCCCAGAGGTGCTGCTGGTCAACAACCCAGGCCTAGTGTACGCCAGGATGACCGGCTACGGACAGAAGGGGAGTCTCTCCCACAGAGCTGGACATGACATCAACTACATCGCGACATCAGGTAGGTGTGGTCACAGCAAACATGTTACTATCATTCTTCTGGATGCCCTTTGGTGTTGACGCGCAGGCGTCAGTGACCTTGCACTGTATTGTAGTATTTGTTAAATCAAGTGATGATGCTTGGTATTTCTTCAATCATAGAATCAAGGTTAAAAGCTGGTCAAGATTCATGAACTAAAACAGCTCTGACCTGCTACAGTAATGTACAGTACGTTGTGTTCAGTTTGGATGATAACTTAAAGTGTTCAAGTCTTTATAATTAAATTTTCGTTGTGTTCATGGAAATTCCTGCATTCTGATTAGCTGAATTGGTCATGTGTTATTGCATTCATTTCCCAATGAATGTAAAGAATTAAGCCATGCCCACCGTGGTGCACTACTTTTATTACTGCGGAATGTCGGGGAATCCCAATATTACAGTCGAGGGAATTCCCTTTCTGGTCACGTGTATCGTCATGCACAGGACATTTAGCGACTTTCATGCATATTCATTGTCCAAACTACCCTTTGAAACCGAAGACCGAGAATGAATGAAACAGCAAACGTGCAGGCTCGCTCGCCTGTTTTTTCCCACTCGCCTCGGTTCAACTTTCATGTCTTCGGGTTTCATTTCTAACTAGCATTTCTCCAACTGTGTTTTACCGTAATCAGGGAAGTAATGTTTGAATCATGTAGTAAATGACCATGTTATTTGAAACAGCCGCCTTCTCTCGGACATATTTCTTCCGGTTCGTTACAGTCTGACTGTTGCAGTTCATTTCGCCTCTTGCCCTAATTGACAGGTCCAATGAACATTGTTTTAATCCCACTCTCCGTTGATTGGCTACTGACTGTGTAGGCATGTCAAGTTATGTGCATAAATTAAACGATCACCTGATTCATGTCACGCCACTGTATGTATTCCTACACCTGGAATGTTTATCAATGTCGTCATTTTTGTCTGTTTTGATATATACAACTGTTTTGGGTTAAACTATTGTCGATAAAACATGTTTTACATTGTCGAATTTAATTATAAGCATTGACTGTATATTTTTTTCGGTTCATTGAGGTATGAAACGAAAAACCGATGTGCAAACTTTTGTAATTCTGATTCATACAGTTTGCACATCCGTTTTTCGATTCATACCTCAATGAACCGAAAAATATAAACAGTCAATCCTTAATTATCTCACCTTGCATTGAGATACTTGTTTCTGATTGGTTATTGCCTATTCAGTAACCAATGTACACCACTGACAAATGTACAAATTACATATAACCCGCTGGGAAATGCTGATCTTCTTACCAATGCAGATACATAGAGGTTATCACGCTTGTGTGTATGGGGATGGTAAATATCCTGTATTAGGAATAAACATTGTATTTAGCGAGCCTTGGACAGTGACAGTAGCCAATATAGTTCCAACAGAAACCTGTTTCTTATACAGTGGCGTAGCTACATATATGCAAAACAAAAATTGGCTACACAAATTGTTTTACTTGCCTTTCGCGGCAATCCATCGGTCTGTCCGATAGAGTAACTGCCCTTTATCAAAGGGAAGCTACTCTAACCTTAGTCAACGAAACGTCACAGCCACAGTCAGACGTTGTTGAGAGTCGGCCAGTCCTGTCATAACGTTAAGTGCAGTCAGATGTACACACAGCGATAAAACGAAACAAGGTAACAATTCGAACATATTTCGGCCAAATCCAACTGTTTTAATTTGTGGAAAAGGTTCCAAGCCGCAGAGGTCTACAAGCACAGATATGGAAAGTGATCCCGCTTGGCTAGTGCCCTCGCTAAATTGTTTCGCAATTTATATCTCCAAAGTTGCCAAAACTTGAAAAATGCCTTAGCTACGTCACAGTTAGACATTGGTTTTCAGTATAGTAGACTGTTCTTTTCATAATGATTGCAATCATCCCAGTAGTTTCTCCAGACTCCTGATGGTTAATTCTGACTCGATCGCCGAATGACAAGGGTTACGCCATGTTTGTTTATAAACAGTGAAAGTAGTGCCTACTTGACCTTTGATATTTGCATCGCTTTCAGCATATGACCCCAGTGGATATCGATTTAATCAGTTGGCTTTATCAGGCCGAGAAACCAACCCGTTATATGATAAAATAGGATTATGTGATCTTGAACTGAACACCTATCAAACACAGTGATCTTTACCAGGGATATCCGAAAGACATGAATATATCCATAAATTTTTATCCCCCCGGCTTATAATGCGTGGGGGTTAAAGCGATCAGCTAGTCTGTCCGTCCATCTGTCTGTCCGTCCGTAAATATTTCCTTTTTGGGGGCAGAACTCGAAAACCATTTAGTGTATTTGATCGAAACTTGGCAAATCTATCAGTCACATACTGAAGTGGTGCCTTTTGCCATTTAGGAATTTTAGAAATTTAAATTTTTACGTTGCCATAGCAACAAGTTGGATTTAAGTTTTAATATAGGATGGGTTCACTTATGGAGTATAACAAATAAACTGTTAAATATTTCCTTGCCAAACATTGCATGTCTATATATAAAGCACATACTGAAATGGTGCCATTTGATATTAAGGAGTTTTAGAAATGTTTATTTTAGAATTTCCATTGCAACTATTTTGACATGGGCTAAGAGAAATGTTGGGTCAGTTACCTGGTTTGGGATCATAAGGTGTTAAAATGGGCAAGGGATATAGACGACTTCGTTGACTATACGCTTGTTTAGTTATTTTCTTGTAATTTGTCATTTGTTTGCATAAAAAAAAACACAGAAACACACTTGTTTTACTTTCCATTTCATATGGATGCGACCATGGTGGATCTTTTTTGGGTAAACACTGTATGCTTATTCAAGAACATTCAACTCTTTACACATTACATACAGAATTGCACATTTACTTGTGGTTACTTTACAGACAGCTGCCGGGGGGATATGTCATCTTTCTGGTGACTCTTGTTCCAATATGACGGCCATATTATATAGTATGCCATAAGCATGTGTCGTATTAACAATGACAATCAGGCAGATTATTATTCTTGTATCACAGGTGTTCTCTCTGCACTGGGCCGTAAGCATGAGAATCCCTGTGCCCCCGTCAATCTGGTGGGGGACTTTGCTGGGGGTGGTCTCATGTGTGCCCTGGGGGTGGTGCTGGCACTGTTTGAGAGGACCCGGTCTGGGAGGGGCCAGGTGGTAGATGCTAACATGGTGCAGGGCTCAGCTTATGTCGGTGAGTGCCACCATGCAGTATGGGGCCAGAATCTCTCAAATATTTTATTTAATTTCTTTTTGTGAAGCAAGTTTCTTAGTTAGGCTTTAAAAAATAAAAGAATTGGTTCTCAGGCAGTGGGTTTCGAAAATATAGTGCAGGCAGGCGGTGTCTTTTCTTTCTTTTTTCGGTTGTTCAAACTAGTATGTAACCAATATGTAAACAGTTGTGTAATCAATAAACAGTTGTGTAATCAATAAACAGTTGTGTAATCAATAAACAGTTGTGTATTCAATAAACAGTTGTGTACAATCAACCTGGGAAAGGGCCTCCCTACATAAATGTATTCCTTGATGAGTAAAATACTGGAATACAGTATTTGACTACCGTTGGACTTGGAATATTTAAGGTTTCTTTTATTTTTTTAAAAATGGAAATAGAAACGAAACATGCAGCAAACTTTATGATGATGCGGGCGGTGCCTGAGAACCAAGACTATTATTTTTTTTAGCCTTAGATTTTTGTTCTTTATATATTTATTTGAATTTGTGTGCAGTGTTAGATATGTTGTCTCTCATTTAACCAGCAGTAAACTATTGTTGCAGTTTCAAGTATTTGCAATTGTTCTAATGTAGAAGTTTGTGCTATCTCGCTAAGTGCAACTAATTATGTATCTTTGTTTTTTTTGGTGTTTTTTTTGTTTGCTATTTAACGCTGCACGCAGTAATATTCCAGCTATATGACGGCAGCCTGTAAATAATCGTGTCTGGACCAGACACTCTAGTGATTGATATCTTGAACATCAATCGTTGCAATTTGGTGCAGACTGAGCATTGGACACCACCAACCTCCCCCTCTCTAGGGTGAGACTCTATTCACTAGACCACAGTGACACGGTGTCTGAGATATATTCCGCTGTCACTTCTATATTTGTTCAAAATTCCAATTATGAATAATGGAATGTATATATCATTGATATGTTTCAGATGTTCATAGGGGGGCACGGGTGGCCCAGTCATCTAAGGCATACAGAGTTGTGTCCCTTGGGCACGCCAGAAACCTATGATTGTGGGTTCGAATCCCGGTTAGCCCCGATTATGTTTCTAGGTTGGTCAGCACCATACCATGCTCATGGGTTTCACCGAAGTGGTAAACGTCTGATATCTGCTTCACTTCGGGCTTTCCTCCCACATTAAGTCGAAACGCTGTGATATAACTGTAACAATGTTAAAAGTGGCGTTAAACCCAACTCACTCACTCAGATGTTCACAAATTCTAGTGATGATGTTTTCAGCAAACTTCCTTTGGGCTTCGAAAGACTCTTTCATCTGGGGAGGGGCGCGAGGAGAAAACCTTCTCGACACAGGGGTTCCATTTTATGAGACGTACAAGACCGCTGATGGAAAGTTCATGTCTGTTGGTGCCTTGGAGCCCCAGTTTTATGCTGCACTGCTCAAAGGTAAAAAGTGAGAGAGGCAGTTAATAGAAATCCAGCAATATGACACTGACAATGAGCTTTACATTTTGTACCCATGTGGAGAATCAAAAGGAGATAGGTGCACGTCTTGACAAAAGACAAAATCAGGTGCACGTCTTGACAAAAGACAAAATCATCTGAACCGCTGAATAACCAATGTTGTATGTCTTCAATTGGACAAAACTCTGTTTTTGCACTTTGGACAGTATGACACAGTATTTGAAATATTACTTACACATTCAAAGAAATAAATCAGGTCTTTTTTGTATACTATGTACATGGGTTATTGCCTTCATATTAACATAAGTGCAATAGGTGGCACTGAAGATGAAACAATATGGTCCCATAAAAAGCAAGCTGTATTTTCTGAAAGTGTTTGTTGAGAAGTTGATTTTACAACTGAAAGTCTGAAGAGATGTGATAGAAGCTTCCCTTTGTGTTGCAGGCCTTCAACTTGATCCAGACAAAGTGCCACAGTTTGGTGATAGCAACAAAACGAAAACGTTATTCACTGATATCTTCCTGTCTAAGACTCGCGATGAGTGGACTGAGGTGTTCCGAGATTTAGATGCATGTGTGGAACCGATCCTGGAGATGGACGAAGCACCTGTTCACCCTCATAATCAAACTAATAATACATTCCTGAAGAACTCCCGCGGTGTGTATGAGGCTGGACCTGCACCTGCTCTGTCTCGAACACCAGGTGTCAGCACTTTGGAGCCACAGCCTGTGATTGGTCAACACACACTGGAGGTGTTGCAGGAAGCTGGGTACAGCCAGGCGGACATCAGGAGTCTGATTGATGCAGGAGCCGTTCAACAGGCCAGCGCCAACTCCAAGTTGTGAAAGGCATGAAATGTCATGCAATTACTCCACTGCTGACCAGTTGGAAATTGAACCAAGTCAGCAATGAAAGATTCTATAATTTCAATGTGCAAGTCAGTTTGTATTGATGCCGAGCAGATACTAGTTTCTCATCAAAATCAATCCACCAGTAGTCATTTTCCTGTTGATATTGAAAAATATCTGATCTTTGTTTTCATGTTATTGAATTAGTCAGCTGGGTTTGTACTACTAAAAATAATAATAATGTGCATATTTATAATGGACCACGTCCACACCCTAAAGCAGGCTGAAAGTGCAACATTATTACCCGGTCAGAGGATCAGTGTGCACTAGAGTTTCTTTCTCAGCTCCAGGGGAGTAAACAGCTTTGGTGCATTCTTGCAGCACTTATTCTCAGTATGAACATCACACAATGGCTTAGCAAGATGATTGAGGAGGCGATTTTCATCTTAGAAACACCCAAGTGATCCTATCAAGCATGTCTTCCTATTGCAGTGCCTTGTAGCAGGAGCTGTCCTGTGTCACGTCGCCATCACAAACTCAGAATATTCAATACGAAAATAAACATGTATGATTCTCTGCCATAAGACGTTTCCTCTTTATCAATGTTTGACTTTAGATGATTGTCGGGTGGCTGCTTGAATGTAGACAAGCGGTGTATTTAACTTCTGTACCCAGGAGTCAACAGAGTGGCTCAGGTGGTAAGGCTGTGTGACTGATTGTGTATTCTTATTACGTGGATCGTTGGTCATGTTGTCGGTCACAAATGTGTTTGGGCCACACTCAACTGACAAGAGGTCATTGTCCTTCAGCTGGACTATTGCTGATGTGGCGTTATACAGCATACACTCACTCCCATGATTAGAAAGGGATGGTGTCACACTCTGACACAACAAACAATGAATGCAACTCAGAACTGTCAAGTTTGCACAATGATTCCTATTTTGTGAAAGATGCGTACAGTCACTGACATATTCACGAAACACTAAAATGAAAATTGTTCACAAGATATCACATATGCATTTATTAGCATGTACATCACACTTCATGTAGTATATTACATCCTTCTGTAAATATATATACATTCATATGTACATATTAACACACTCTCATAATTCATGTGTATACAACAGGTATCATTAATACATAGATAGACCTGATCTAAACACAAAGAACATTTTGTAGATTATTATACAAAAAAGCACATTTTGAAAACAGTAAAAACTTTCAAAATTGATGGGAAATAATCCACTTGGACGGGGATGAACATGTTGGACAGAATGTTTGACCCCTTTGTGACAAGACCACGACATGACCCCTCCCAGCCCCCCTCCCCCCTCCAACCCCTACTGTGTGAGACTCGATAATGCACACAGACTTGCTCCGACATGTGCTACTGAAAGGATCGACAATGTTGTCAAATCACATCAATTTCATCCCTAAATAGAACATGAAACCAAACAAAGACATTCCTTGTTATAAACCATTGTCACTGTGATAGTATTCATATGTCATGTATGTTTATCTTGTAAAACTGAAGTGTCACATCTATGATTACAACCAAACATAATGTGACCTGGCTAAAAACAAGGTATAAAATATACAAAGTATATGGCTTGGACGGAACTAGTTAAACCAGAGATTCAGAAAAATATACATACAAACATAAACAAAGTGGTAATAAATGATTTCTAGATATGATGTGGTAGATATGACATGCAGCCATGGAAGCTCACAACGCCCCAGACTGACACAACCTGAGTGTAAACTGAACAAAGTACATCTTGAGATCAAGATCTTACATCGGGTACTTGATGTCGCTCACGGTATGTTGTTAATTTATTTGTATATACATACATGTTTATATCTAGCAAATGATTTTTATTAATGCACCTTGTTCAAGGCACTTTGTGCTCAAGCATAGTACATGATACATATGTGCACATGGTTCTAAACTGTCAGCATAATATTGCAGTCGGGTCATATGTGGTATTCTCACTTCACAAATATGACATCAACACGAAGAGGGATGTTTAAGTACTTGTCTGCCAGCTAGCCAGCTAAACCCACCTTTTATTGAATGTTTATTATGTTTATTGAATAAAAAGTTTGGAAGGTAAAGTAATACAGGTAATAGTTCTAATGGGACCAGATTGCTCGCCTGTGTGACCCAAATACACTTTGTTTGAAAATAGAATTGCACTTTAATCTTTCTGTTGTAAACTTCCACCAGCTGTTTTCTTGGGTGGCAGGTGTCCGCAGTCAGTTGAGGCCTTGCCTCCAGGATGGAACAGCTCTGAAAAAAGGAGAGGTGTAGGCTACTGAAACAGGACTGATGACAAACACTAGTAGTTACCATGATGACCCTAGATACACCAGCAGTTACCATGGTAACCCTCCATACAGTTAGATCTTACATACACCAGTAGTTACCTTGGTGACCCTACAGAAACCAGTAGTTACCATGGTAACCCCCCATACTCTTAGTTACTATAGTGACCCTACACACACCTGTAGTTACTAGGGGTGTGACAGATAACTCGGGTACTCGGGTCAGGTCGGCCCTGAATGGGACCTGGTACCCAAAGGACTACCCGGACCTGTGGTTAGTCACGTGATATATTGTTTAATGACACAAATTATCTAAAACTATATGGTTACACTAAAAGTCACTAATGATCCCATTTCTTTCTGACAATGCACCCATTCCTTCTGACTTGTATATGTTTGATTAAAGATAAAACTTCATGCAGTAAACTTCAGTGTTTGCATGGCTGTATCTAAATACATTTTGCCAGGGCTATGGTTCAACTTTTCCAAATCGGACAGTTTGTACCTATCTCTAAATATCTACAGCTGGAAACCGGGTAGTGTCGGGTAATAGGCGAGGTGAAATGGGGTTTAACGTTGCGTCCATGATTATTGCACTTATATAGCGACGTGCATACATATGTGTGTGTGTGTGTGTGTGTGTGTGTGTGTGTGTGTGTGTGGCTGCTTGTACTAGTCCGGACTGATGCCGATTTATAGTGCTAGCACACTGAGATACTATGCCGCAGTTTAACATGAATACCCCATTCAGACACAGTATACTGACTCCGAGCCGACCAGTCCTTGTTTTAGCACCTTAATGCCGAGCGCCAAACAGGGTAACAACAAGTACCATCTTTTAACGTCTTTTGGTATGACGCGGCTGGGGATCGAACCCCGGACATTCCGCTCTCCGGGCGGACGCTCTACCATTAGACCACGGAGGCGGTCAGTCGGGTAATAGGGTGGTGGGTACCTGGGTAGTAAATTTTGACTCGTCCCTGCCCTAGTAGTTACCATGGTGAAGCTACATACACTAGTAGTTAAAATTCATACATTATAGCTGAAATAGTGTGAGCGCCATCTCAACTGACACATGAGCAGGATGGGTACCTCGTCATATAGCAGGAATATTGCTGAGTGCGCGTTAAACAACAATCAATCAATGTCATGGCTTCAGTCTTCTGGGTAATCATGACTGACTATCTGCAATGAGGTCAAATCGTCAATGGGCAATACCATGCAACAGAACTATGGTAGGACAGTTGAGAGAAGCTATCAAGGAAAAGATTAAAGAAAGCTTGGGTAAGATTTGTTCATGGCTCTGGACAGAATGCCTGTGCACACAAGTGGCTGTTGTGATTTTGAACTACTACCCATGTCTCCTGACCTAGCACCCTCTGACCTAGCACCCTCTGACCAAGCACCCTCCGACCCAGCACCCTCTGACCAAGCACCCTCCAACCCAGCACCCTCTGACCCAGCACCCTCTGACCAAGCAGCCTCTGACCTAGCACCCTCTGACCAAGCACCCTCCAACCCAGCACCCTGACCCAGCACCCTCTGACCTAGCACCCTCTGACCCAGCAGCCTCTGACCAAGCAGCCTCTGACCTAGCACCCTCTGACCTAGCACCCTCCAACCCAGCACCGACCTAGCACCCTCTGACCTAGCAGCCTCTGACCCAGCAGCCTCTGACCAAGCAGCCTCTGACCTAGCACCCTCTGACCAAGCAGCCTCTGACCTAGCACCCTCTGACCAAGCACCCTCTGACCCAGCACCCTCTGACCCAGCAGCCTCTGACCAAGCAGCCTCTGACCTAGCACCCTCTGACCTAGCACCCTCTGACCAAGCACCCTCTGACCCAGCACCCTCTGACCCAGCACCCTCTGACCCAGCACCCTCTGACCCAGCACCCTCCGACCCAGCACCCTCCGACCCAGCACCCTCTGACCCAGCACCCTCTGACCCAGCACCCTCTGACCTAGCACCCTCTGACCCAGCACCCTCTGACCTAGCACCCTCTGACCAAGCACCCTCTGACCCAGCACCCTCTGACCCAGCACCCTCTGACCAAGCAGCCTCTGACCTAGCACCCTCTGACCCAGCACCCAGCACCCTCTGACCCAGCACCCTCTGACCCAGCACCCTCTGTCCAACCACCCTCTGTCCAACCACCCTCTGTCCAACCACCCTTAAACTCTTGTCTTTTGCCTTAAGTCAAATGAGTGGCAGACTTGACCAGGTGATGAGGTGATTGTTGCCATCTAGGTATTTCAGGGGGCCGGGGACCGAGATGAAGAGAGAACTACATTGATATGTGACCAATTTAATTCAGCACAATTTTCTATCTGAAGTCCATTTTGCTCTACACTTTTACTCAAAGAATGTTCCTGATTCCACTAAATATAGGAGAGTCTCCGAATTTCCTGTTTCAGTCCTATCACTAGCACTGTTGAACACTAACAAGCTCAGCTTCCTGGCAGAACACAGAGATGGTTGCAGATGTACCTGTGAGGCATTTGAAGCACCTGGCCCCCGCCACTCGGACCCGGTTCTTTCAGTCTTTCCTTCCACCCTTTGGTCGGCTTATACAGGCGGGTGGGATCTCTCGGAACAAACATCTCCACCTGCAAAGTCCACACTGATACATTCAAATTGATGTCAGTCTTTTCAAAATTAACTTATATGCACACATTATTTTCAGGATATCAACAATTAATTCTTGTAAAAACTTATATTCCATAAAAAACTGCAATCTTGCCTGTTGCTTTATTCTCGCCAATTTTTTCTCTTTTTCTATTTCTTCTTCTTCTTTGGCCTTCTTCTTCATAACCCTCTCAGATACCGCTTTTAGATCCTATTCAACAAAATAATCACCATGATGTACCATATATAAATGGACACACTGAACTACACACATTTCTAAGTCACCATACAACATGTCAAATATAATACCGATAGATCACTGGACCTAGAGTGATGACATGGCTCTGTTTGAAATGAGATATATTTTAAATTATTCATGTGATCAGGTCGTATAGGTTGCTATGCATGGGTTTACAATGCGTGACCCAAGTGTTTGGGTGGTGACCTTGGTGACGCTGGGATGTGTTGGGGTGATTTGTTTTTAGAAGCTGGAAACTTTGTTCAAGCACGTTTCCGCATAAGATCGAAAGAAGAACTAAGAAATGCATAGTGAGAGATAGGCTAAGTTTAAAATTTAAATGTATTTCACCATTCATTACAACTGAAACATGACAATGTAACAGCTTCTGAATGTGAAGTTTCCTATATATGTCACTGATCTGTGTAACCATCTCTAATTTGTTAACTGTTAGGCTACTGTTGGTCTTCAGGCAACAACCTTCAAAAACGGTCTCTTTTACGATGTAATATGTACAATGATTGGAGGTCAACATTTTATTTTTTGTTGAATTCAAGTAGAAGGAAATTACAAGTGAGTGAGTGAGTGAGGTTTTACACTGCTTTTAGCAATGTTCCAGCAATATCATGGCGAGGGACACCACAAGTGGGCTTTACACATTGTACCCATGTCGGGAATTGAACCCGAATGCTTTAACCACTAAGTCCCGACCGCCCCAGGAAACTGCAACAGTGGTGTTGTGATTGTTGGTTGTGTTGTGTTGGTGTTGTGAGTGTACATGAGTTGTGCCCGTGACTGACCCGGTCCCTGAACTTGACAATCTCCCGGGCGGACAGCTGCTGCTTCCTCTCACTCTCCACCTGCTCCCACCTCTCCTCCTGCGCCCGGAGGAACTCCTCCTCATCCTTTCGCTGTTGCTTGTACTCCAACACCCGTGACCGCATCTCCATCTGCAACAGTGTAACTACATCTACAACAGTGGACCTACAATCTCATTTGAAAATGAGTTATTTGGTACTTCCGGCTTTTGATTCCTGGGAAGTTAGATCATGTGTCAAGCGAATGAAGTTAAGTTTGAGACGATAGCAAATATTATTATTCTCTCAAACTGCTATTGACCCATTCTATATCACAGAATTCTATCTGAAGTCTTGGTGTTATCGTTTGATGATAAGGTTTTACATTTCAAAAGTAGGGCTACTCGAAATTATTTCATGACACATTTCAGACCAGGGGCAGACACTCACATTAATTTCATGATCTACAGTAACAGTGCTGTACAGTAATATTTTCTATTTCTTTGAACCTTTCTGTTTGTTTTTCAACCCACCTGTCTTTTCTTTTCATCTTCCTGTTTCTTGGTTCGAGCCATCTCCTCCCTCATCCTCCGCTCCTCCACCTGGGCCTTCTCCAGCTCCTTCTGCACCTACACATTCACCACAGTTACAAACTTCACCTACACATTCACCACAGTTACAAACTTCACCTACACATTCACCACAGTTACAAACTTCACCTACACATTCACCACAGTTACAAACTTCCCCTACACATTCACCACAGTTACAAACTTCACCTACACATTCACCACAGTTACAAACTTCACCTACACTTTCACAACAGTTACAAACTTCACCTACACATTCACAACAGTTACAAACTTCACCTACACATTCACCGCAGTTACAAACTTCACCTACACATTCACCACAGTTACAAACTTCACCTACACATTCACCACAGTTACAAACTTCACCTACACATTCACAACAGTTACAAACTTCACCTACACATTCACCACAGTTACAAACTTCACCTACACATTCACAACAGTTACAAACTTCACCTACACTTTCACAACAGTAACAAACTTCACCTACACATTCACAACAGTTACAAACTTCACCTACATATTCACCACAGTTACAAACTTCACCTACACATTCACCGCAGTTACAAACTTCACCTGCATTCACCCCAGTTACAAACTTCACATACACTTCCACAACAGTTACAAACTTCACCTACATATTCACCACAGTTACAAACTTCACCTACACATTCACCGCAGTTACAAACTTCACCTACACATTCACCACAGTTACAAACTTCACCTACACTTTCACAACAGTTACAAACTTCACCTACACATTCACCAGTTACAAACTTCACCTACACATTCACAACAGTTACAAACTTCACCTACACATTCACCACAGTTACAAACTTCACCTACATATTCACCACAGTTACAAACTTCACCTACACATTCACCGCAGTTACAAACTTCACCTGCATTCACCCCAGTTACAAACTTCACATACACTTTCACAACAGTTACAAACTTCACCTACACATTCACAACAGTTACAAACTTCACCTACATATTCACCACAGTTACAAACTTCACCTACATATTCACCACAGTTACAAACTCCACCTACACATTCACCGCAGTTACAAACTTCACCTGCATTCACCCCAGTTACAAACTTCACCTACACTTTCACAACACTTACAAACTTTACCTACACATTCACCACAGTTACAAATTTTGCCTACACATTCACCACAGTTACAAACTTCACCTACACATTCACCACAGTTACAAACTTCACCTACACATTCACCACAGTTACAAACTTCACCTACACATTCACCACAGTTACAAACTTCACCTACACATTCACCACAGTTACAAACTTCACCTACACATTCACCACAGTTACAAACTTCCCCTACACATTCACCACAGTTACAAACTTCACCTACACATTCACCACAGTTACAAACTTCACCTACACTTTCACAACAGTTACAAACTTCACCTACACATTCACAACAGTTACAAACTTCACCTACACATTCACCGCAGTTACAAACTTCACCTACACATTCACCACAGTTACAAACTTCACCTACACATTCACCACAGTTACAAACTTCACCTACACATTCACAACAGTTACAAACTTCACCTACACATTCACCACAGTTACAAACTTCACCTACACATTCACAACAGTTACAAACTTCACCTACACTTTCACAACAGTAACAAACTTCACCTACACATTCACAACAGTTACAAACTTCACCTACATATTCACCACAGTTACAAACTTCACCTACACATTCACCGCAGTTACAAACTTCACCTGCATTCACCCCAGTTACAAACTTCACATACACTTCCACAACAGTTACAAACTTCACCTACATATTCACCACAGTTACAAACTTCACCTACACATTCACCGCAGTTACAAACTTCACCTACACATTCACCACAGTTACAAACTTCACCTACACTTTCACAACAGTTACAAACTTCACCTACACATTCACCAGTTACAAACTTCACCTACACATTCACAACAGTTACAAACTTCACCTACACATTCACCACAGTTACAAACTTCACCTACATATTCACCACAGTTACAAACTTCACCTACACATTCACCGCAGTTACAAACTTCACCTGCATTCACCCCAGTTACAAACTTCACATACACTTTCACAACAGTTACAAACTTCACCTACACATTCACAACAGTTACAAACTTCACCTACATATTCACCACAGTTACAAACTTCACCTACATATTCACCACAGTTACAAACTCCACCTACACATTCACCGCAGTTACAAACTTCACCTGCATTCACCCCAGTTACAAACTTCACCTACACTTTCACAACACTTACAAACTTTACCTACACATTCACCACAGTTACAAATTTTGCCTACACATTCACCACAGTTACAAACTTCACCTACACATTCACAACAGTTACAAACTTCACCTACACATTCACCACAGTTACAAACTTCACCTACACATTCACCACAGTAACAAACTTCACCTACACATTCACAACAGTTACAAACTTCACCTACATATTCACCACAGTTACAAACTTCACCTACACATTCACCGCAGTTACAAACTTCACCTGCATTCACCCCAGTTACAAACTTCACATACACTTTCACAACAGTTACAAACTTCACCTACATATTCACCACAGTTACAAACTTCACCTACACATTCACCGCAGTTACAAACTTCACCTACACATTCACCACAGTTACAAACTTCACCTACACTTTCACAACAGTTACAAACTTCACCTACACATTCACCAGTTACAAACTTCACCTACACATTCACAACAGTTACAAACTTCACCTACACATTCACCGCAGTTACAAACTTCACCTACATATTCACCACAGTTACAAACTTCACCTACACATTCACCGCAGTTACAAACTTCACCTGCATTCACCCCAGTTACAAACTTCACATACACTTTCACAACAGTTACAAACTTCACCTACACATTCACAACAGTTACAAACTTCACCTACATATTCACCACAGTTACAAACTTCACCTACATATTCACCACAGTTACAAACTTCACCTACACATTCACCGCAGTTACAAACTTCACCTGCATTCACCCCAGTTACAAACTTCACCTACACTTTCACAACAGTTACAAACTTCACCTACACATTCACCACAGTTACAAATTTTGCCTACACATTCACCACAGTTACAAACTTCACCTACACATTCACAACAGTTACAAACTTCACCTACACATTCACCGCAGTTACAAACTTCACCTACACATTCACCACAGTAACAAACTTCACCTACACATTCACAACAGTTACAAACTTCACCTACACATTCACAACAGTTACAAACTTCACCTACATATTTACCACAGTTACAAACTTTGCCTACACATTCACCACAGTAACAAACTTCACCTACAATTTCACAACAGTTACAAACTTCACCTACACATTCACAACAGTAACAAACTTCACCTACACATTCACCAAAGTTACAAACTTCACCTACACATTCACCACAGTAACAAACTTCACCTACACATTCACCACAGTTACAAACTTCACCTACACATTCACCACAGTTACAAACTTCACCTACACATTCTACACAGTTACAAACTTCACCTACACATTCACCACAGTTACAAATTTTGCCTACACATTCACCACAGTTACAAACTTCACCTACACATTCAAGACACCCTCTAGACATCCTCAATCAATCCTGCTTGTATCTAGACACCCTCCATCAATCCTGACTATATCTAAACACACGCTAGACCTCTGTCCACATCACTCCTGTCTATATCTAGACACCCTCCATCAATCCTGTCTATATCTAGACATCCTCGATCAATCCTGCTTGTATCTAGACATCCTCCATCAATCCTGACTATATCATAACACACGCTAGACCTCTGTCCACATCAATCCTGTCTATATCTAGACACCCTCCATCAATCCTGCCTGTATCTAGACACCCTCCATCAATCCTGTCTATATCTAGACATCCTCGATCAATCCTGCTTGTATCTAGACACCCTCCATCAATCCTGCCTGTATCTAGACACCCTCCATCAATCCTGACTATATCATAACACACGCTAGATCTCTGTCCACATCAATCCTGTCTATATCTAGACACCCTCCATCAATCCTCCCATTATCTAGACACCCTCAAGGCCTCCGTCCACATCAATCCTGTCTATATCTAACCAACCTCCATCAATCCTGTCTATATCTAGACACACACACACACACACACACCCACACACCCATCAATCCTGCCTATATTAAGAAACCCTACAGGCCTCGATCTATATCAATCTTGCCTACATCTGGACACTCTCAAGACCTCCGTCCATATCAATGCTGTCTATATCAAGACACCCTCCATCAATCATGTCTATATCAAGACACCCTCCATCAATCATGTCTATATCAAGACACCCTCCATCAATCATGTCTATATCAAGACACCCTCCATCAATCATGTCTATATCTAGACACCCTCCATCAAACCTGCCCTGCCCCCGTCCACATCAATCCTGCCTCCATCTAGACACCCTTCATCAATCCTGCCTAAATCTAGACACCCTCCAGACCTTCGTCCACATCAATCCTGCCTACATCTAGACACCCTCCAGACCTTCGTCCACATCAATCCTGTCTTTATCGAGACACCCTCCATCAATCCTGCCTACATCTAGACACCCTCCAGGCCTCCATCCACATCAATCCTGCCTACATCTAGACACCCTCCAGACCGTCGTCCACATCAATCCTGTCTTTATCTAGACACCCTCCATCAATCCTGCCTACATCTAGACACCCTCCTGACCTCAGTCCACATCAATCCTGTCTATATCTAGACACTCCCATCAATCCTGCCTACATCTAGACACCCTCCAGACCTTCGTCCACATCAATCCTGTCTTTATCTAGACACCCTCCATCAATCCTGCCTACATCTAGACACCCTCCTGACCTCAGTCCACATCAATCCTGTCTATATCTAGACACTCCCATCAATCCTGCCTATATCTAGACACACTCTAGACCTCCGTTCACATAAATCCTGTCAATATCTAGACACGCTCCAGACCTCTGTCCACATCAATCCTGCCTAAAACCAGTGTAACCTACCCTCCATGCATTCAGGCGTGAAAATCTCTCCCTCTTCTCACTCTCCACCTCCTCCTTTAGCTGGGCCTTTCTCATCTCTTCCTGCTCTTCCTCCAGGTTCTCCTCATCCACATGGGCCAGCAGCTCCTCCTTCTCCCCCTACAGCATGGAGCATAGGGTAGCATAGTGCAGGATAGTGGAGCATAGTGTAGCACAGCAGTGAGGGGTAGTGTTGGATAGTATAGAGTAGCACAGTGTAGTATAGTGTAGCATAGCAGTGTTGGTTAGTATAGAGTAGCACATTGGAACATAGTGTAGCATAGCATAGCATAGAGCACCATGGCATAGCCTAGTGTAGCATAGTGTAGCACAGAGTAGCATAGTGAAGCACAGTGTAGTTCAGTGTAGCATTGGGTAGCACAGTGCAGTGTAGAAGGTGTAGTGTAGTGTAGTGTAGTACAGTGTAGTGTAATGTAGCACAGTGTAGTGTAATGTAGTGAAATGTAGTCTAATGTAATGTAGCGTAGTGTAGTCTAATGTAATGTAGCACAGTGTAGTGTAGTTTAGTGTAATGTAGTGTAGTACAGTGTAGTGTAGTGTAGTGTAGTGTAGTGTAGTGTAGTGTAGTGTAGTGTAGTGTAATGTAATGTAATGTAGCACAGTGTTGTGTAGTGTAGTGTAGTGTAGTGTAATGTAGTGAAGCACAGTGTAGTGTAGTGTAGTGTAGTGTAGTGTAGTGTAGTGTAGTGTAGTGTAGTGAAGCACAGTGTAGTGTAGTGTAGTGTAGTGTAGTGTAGCAGTGTAGTGTAGTGTAGTGTAGTGTAGTGTAATGTAGTGAAGCACAGTGTAGTGTAGTGTAGTGTAGTGTAGTGTAGTGTAGTGTAGTGTAGTGTAGTGTGGCACAGTGCAGTGTAGTGTAGTGTAGTATAAGGAATAATCTTTATTTCCTCCATCAGTATCGGAGTGTACAAGGAAAGAATTACATATCACTATTTACATGCACTTTTTACAAGATGATGTGTTAAAGATACAGGATATTTCCTGCGCCACAACGTTCATAAATTGTGCCCATGTATCAAGAGACAAATAGTCCACGAGAAGTGTGATACCTCTAATATTAGGTACTGGTTTAATGATAAGTGGTCACACAGTTTCTCATACAGAATAATCCGCTGTGCTGTGAGCCTATCACAGGTCACAGGTTGGTGATACACAGTCATCACAGTCACTGTAAAATATGGGAGAATTCCCAATTTGAGCTACAGCATTGATTACTGCTGGACACCTGCCTCAACTTACCTGTTTCCTTTGTCTCCACGCTTTTATAGCATCCTTCTTGACATCGTTGAGGAAGAGATATTCCTGATACCAAGACTCATGGTCGTGGATTTCGTCTTCCTGCTTTGTTGGCAGTGCTGGAATCAGGTGCTGCACAAACACATTCTTGCCCTGAAACCAGATATCAACAGATTTTCATAAAGTTGGGGAATAAAATCAAATAAGAGGGTAAAACATTATTGGCTTTTACTGTGTAGATGACAATATTACAATTACACATAAGTACAACATAGTCTGATGATGCATCAGTCACGCTGAAGGTTTTATGGTCAAACTCAATCCAGAACATCCACAACCATCTTGAATCTGTTCCTGAAATTGAGTGAGTGAGTGAGTGAGTGAGTATGGTTTTACGCCGCTTTTAGCAATATCCCAGCAAATATCACAGCGGTGGACACCAGAAATGGGCTTCACACATTGTACCCATGTCGGGAATCGTCGTGCAAGCTACCCGACCACCCCTCCTGAACTTGAGGAAGGTCTGATGGTCATACTCAACCTAGAACATCCACACCCACCTTGAATCTGTTCCTGAACTTGAGGAAGGTCTGATGGTCATACACAACCTAGAACATCCACACCCACCTTGAATCTGTTCCTGAACTTGAGGAAGGTCTGATGGTCATACTCAACCTAGAACATCCACACCCACCTTGAATCTGTTCCTGAACTTGAGGAAGGTCTGATGGTCATACTCAACCTAGAACATCCACACCCACCTTGAATCTGTTCCTGAACTTGAGGAAGGTCTGATGGTCATACACAACCTAGAACATCCACACCCACCTTGAATCTGTTCCTGAACTTGAGGAAGGTCTGATGGTCATACACAACCTAGAACATCCACACCCACCTTGAATCTGTTCCTGAACTTGAGGAAGGTCTGATGGTCATACTCAACCTAGAACATCCACACCCACCTTGAATCTGTTCCTGAACTTGAGGAAGGTCTGATGGTCATACTCAACCTAGAACATCCACACCCACCTTGAATCTGTTCCTGAACTTGAGGAAGGTCTGATGGTCATACTCATCCCAACCCCCACGCACTCCGCCTGTTTGCTGGAGAAATTTCTGAAGAAACATAAAAGTCTTGTCAATAACAGTAGATATAGGACATTGCTAACACTTAACACTGACACTGATATACATTAAAATTGCAAAACTGATATACATCATCACGATAAGGCTAAGAGACAAGGTCCGTTTAGAATTACATGAAGATCCGGTGAACAATAGGTCTTCAGCAACCTATGCTTGCCCTAAATGGCGACTATGCTTGTCGTAAGAGGCGACTAACAGGATCGGATGGTCAGGCTCGCTGACTTGGTTGATGCATGTCATCGATCCCAATTGTGTGGATCGATGCTCATGATATCAATCACTGGATTGTCTGGTCCAGATGGATTATTTACAGACCGCCGTCCTATAGCTTGAATATTGGTGAGTGCGGCGTTAAACAACAAACCAAAACAAAACAAAAAGAATTAGACATCAAGGAATGCCAATGTGCCCAAGCCCAGTTCCCTCATAAGGGATGTTGAAATAACCCCATTTCCTCCAAAGTAAGGGCCCTGGTTCCACAAGCATGTAATACATCCAACATGGCAGACTTGTGTCAGGACCAGTATGCTACCTCAAAGGCTGCAACTTCTGGTGGAAGATCTTTGGTGATGTCTCGAGCTGTTGAGGGTGCCCTGACACTGGCAACTCTGGTAGCAGATGCCCCGCCATCTCGGACCTGACTCCACACCTCGAATCTCTTCTCTAGCGCCTGGATCTCCTGTGTGGTCGTCCTCTCTTCCTTCATCAGTTCCTCATACCTGCTCAACATAAAGTAACATCTGATGGACACGACATACAGTAACATCTGATGGACACGACATACAGTAACATCTGATGGACACGACATGCAGTGACATCTGATGGACAAGACATACAGTAACATCTGATGGACACGACATACAGTGACATCTGATGTACACGACATACAGTAACATCTGATGGACACGACATACAGTAACATCTGATGGACAAGACATTCAGTAACATCTGATGTACAAGACATACAGTAACATCTGATGGACACGACATACAGTAACATCTGATGGACACGACATACAGTGACATCTGATGGACACGACATACAGTAACATCTGATGGACACGACATACAGTAACATCTGATGGACACGACATACAGTAACATCTGATGGACAAGACATACAGTAACATCTGATGGACACGACATACAGTAACATCTGATGGACAAGACATACAGTAACATCTGATGGACACGACATACAGTGACATCTGATGGACAAGACATACAGTGACATCTGATGGACACGACATACAGTAACATCTGATGGACATGACATACATTGACATCTGATGGACACGACATACAGTAACATCTGATGGACACGACATACAGTGACATCTGATGGACAAGACATACAGTAACATCTGATGGACATGACATACAGTGACATCTGATGGACACGACATACAGTAACATCTGATGGACACGACATACAGTGACATCTGATGGACAAGACATACAGTAACATCTGATGGACACGACATACAGTGACATCTGATGGACAAGACATACAGTGACATCTGATGGACACGACATACAGTAACATCTGATGGACACGACATACAGTGACATCTGATGGACACGACATACAGTAACATCTGATGGACACGACATACAGTAACAACTGATGGACACGACATACAGTAATATCTGATGGACAAGACATACAGTGACATCTGATGGACAAAACATACAGTAACATCTGATGGACAAGACATACAGTGACATGACTGTCACAACATACAGTAACATCTGATGGACAAGACATACAGTAACACCTGATGGACACGACATACAGTGACATGACTGTCACAACATACTCTGACAGATGACTGTCATGACCTATATGTCAACAAATTATTCACAAAGCTTTGTCAGTTTTTTGACACATTAACATGTTTATTCGATCATCATGATCATCATTACCGTGGTTAGACTATTTGCTGAATGATTCCATTTGTTCTACTCTTTTGTTTATGGAAACAATTTGCATTTCAAATGAATGCCCCAGAATGTGTGGTAAGCAAGAACACAGGTATGAACAATGTTCAAGTGGTGTAAAGACAGGTCAGTTTAACGTTGGAGGAACCCCTGAAGTGAAGCCCCTGAGGATGGGCATCATGCTGACAAACAAACCATAATCAAGATCTGGGATACAAACTCACATCCAGCAGATCCCGGTAAAGGGACATAACTCTACACAGAGAAAGGCATTGACTTGAACCAATGGACAACCTGTGATCTTGTCACGTACTACAACCGCTGACTGTACTAACATCTAACACAAACAAAAATGTAAAACACCTACAACTGACGCTGCTGCAACTTGAATGTGTTTATAGTTCCTTCTATGTCCTCCATGATCACCTTCAACTTCTCAACAACTGGAAACAAAAAACCAAATTGATACACATCTCAACATGCACATGAAACAGCAAACCAATCACATCTCAACATGCACATCAAACAGCAAACCAATCACATCTCAACATGCACATCAAACAGCAAACCAATCACATCTCAACATGAACATCAAACAGCAAACTAAACAGTGATTAGCAAAAGCAACAACGAGTACAACAGATGTTGTATATGACAAATTATGACACTACCAGCCAGAATACATTTTGATTTTCTGAAACTGAGTGAGTGAGTGAGTGAGTGAGTGAGTGAGTTTGGTTTAACGCCGCTTTTAACATTATTCCAGTTATATCATGGCGTGTCAGCTTAATGTGAGAGAAAAGCCCGAAGTGATGCAGGTCTTAGACGTTTACCACTTCGGTTAAACCCACGAGCACGGTTATGGTGCAGACAAACCTAGAAACATAATCAGGGTGAACCGGGATTCGAACCCACAATCATAGGTTTCTGGCGTGTCCAGGGGTGACTCTGCACAGCGAATTGCGGCGCCTTAGACGACTGGGCCACCCGTGCCCCCCTTTCGGAAACTGATGCCATCCATGTAGTGGTGTAAAGATACATTGATACATATCCCAATACGAGGCCCCGACACAATACATTAATTTACAACCCTGAATAGCAATACATGATATATTTCAATGATAACAAAGTTTTTTTGTGTCAAAATCATGTGAATAATAACAGAAATTGTTCACCAACCAGCTTACACAGATTCTCTAGTATTCCTGGTTGGCTTTATTGAGCAACACATTCACAGTGCCTTCTAGCCTATGTGTTTATGGCCTACTATAATTTATATCCCAACTTCAATCTGTGATATAAATAAAGAAATGACTCGGGGTTGGGATTTACCTGCAAATGAAAAAAAATATCAACTTATGAAATAAAAAATACTGTATCAGGACACGATGTGTATTGTACCAGGTGACCATTAGTATCAGGAGGTACAACGTGTCATGACCCCGCCGTATCGTTTCACCTCTAATGGCAGGTCCGTGTGTGTTAGTTCATCTTGTAGGAAGATGCTGATCAACATGTAAACATTTATGTCGAAACAAAATTTGAAGAAAACATTATGCATGATTAAATGCATTATGCATGCTACAAACATCATCATGATAATTACAATGAGATGGAGCTTACATTCAGGTGTGGGTTTGATATCCTTCAGTTCTCGTTGAAACCTCTTCACCATGTGGCTTATCTTCTCTAACTGTTGGCGTAACTTTATCTCTGTAGGAAGAAGAAGAGTAGCAAATAATTATCCAAGTCTTGTTGTATAGCCATGTAGGTATACCTTATAGTTTGAAATAGTCAATCTGGTAAGCAGAATGGTAAGACATCTTATGTGAAATATAGTTGAAATCTCATAATATTTTAGCAAAAAGCACAGCGGGTCCATAAACAACAATATTTAAGGCTAAAAAAAAATAATTAAAAAATCCTTATTTATTCCAAATCCAACGGTAGTCAAATACTGTATTCCAGTATTTTACTCATCGAGGAATACATTTATGTAGGGAGGCCCTTTCCCAGGTTGATTGTACACAACTGTTTATTGAATACACAACTGTTTATTGGTTACATATAGTTTGAACACACCCACCACCATCCCAAAAAAAAAAACACAAAAAAAAAACACTGCCCACCCACACTATATCTTTAAAAACCATTGCCTGAGAACCAATTCTTTTATTTTTTTAAGCCTATAATAGTCAAACTTTTCCCTTATCATTTTTGAAAAAATTCATGTTACCATGGTTAGGGCAGTCTTGTGCCCTGAGAATAAAATATGTAGCCTCAGATGTATTTCTTCAGATGTTCTGTTTGACCGATGCCTACTTGAGAGATGAACATTGCAAGACTGTGACATTAACCATTATATTAACATGATCAATGCTCTATTTACTTTCTGTCTTCCTTTGTGTGGTCATCTTGCTATCCTGCTCTTCAAGTTGAACGAAGTCTGCTCTATAGTCACTTCGCTTGCTGTAGATATGTGTTCCCTTCTCTCTCTCCATTGCCTGAATTCTTCAGAGTAAAACAGAAACAATATCATTTGCATTCTAATGATAAAACATGAAGAAGAGAACTAGGTCTCCTGTGTTGGATCGACCACCTCTGTTGTCTAGTGGTAGAGCATTCGCCCGAATCATACCAAAGATGCTAAAAGATGGTACTTGTTGTTACCCTGCCTGGCATTCGGCATTAAGGGGGCTAAAGCCGGGGTTCGATCCTCGCCCGAATCATACCAAAGATGCTAAAAGATGGTACTTGTTGTTACCCTGTCTGGCATTCGGCATTAAGGGGGCTAAAGCAAGGACTGGTTGGCTCGGAGTCAGTATACTGTGTCTGAGTGGGGTATTCCATTTAAACTGTGGCATGGTATCTCAGTGTGCTAGCACTATAAATCGGCATCAGTCCAGACCAGTACAAGCAGCCACACACACACACACACACACACACGTGCATGCACGTCGCAATATAAGTGCAATAATCTTGGACGCGACGTTAAACCTCATTTCACCTCACCTCCAGTGTTGAGTCATTTACAAAACATCACTAACTTGTTGGGATAATGTACAATTATACTGATACTTTGTTAACAAGCCACAAGTTGGGACACTATGAGTACAGCAATCCAGCAAAACATATGGTACGTCAAAACACACACAAGACATTTTTCTAGGTGTATAAAGTAGGTCAATAACATCAGTCACCAAAAATGATACCATATGAATACCAGCCCAGCACTCACATTTTCATATATATGTCACGTTCCTGGTCCCAGCATTGGAGACATACTCAGACATGTATATACCATGTTTCTATTACAGCCCACCCTGCCTAGTTCACAATCCCATCAGGAATTGAGATTGACTGCCAGAAACCTAAACTGATGTTCACCATCTTTTACTTACTGTATCTCCAATTTATTAATTTCCCGTAAAATTTCACCCTTTTTGGCCTGCTCAGTTTTGGTTTTCCATGCCATGACTTCTCCATTTCGGGATGTGTTGACCACCTACAACATGGTGAATATCTATCAGCCACAGAAAACAAGCACATCTCTATGCTATGTACAACATGGGATGATCTTCAATCTTAACAATTCACTTAGAAATATGTTCATAGTTGATCTATGAATTTGATTCAATAGAACAACTGTAATGTCACCTCAAGTGACAACTGTCTTAAATACTTAGTTTTTTTAGTTGTTTTTTTTTGTCTTTTAAGAACTGATTTAGGCATTCAGTTAGCGAGACAGTGATGCCACCAGTAAGAACAGTTCTGTCGGAATGTATAATTTTTTTGAGGAAACATTGTCCCTAACGGTACTTTACATACTCTCAATGTTTCAGTTTGTAATGACAACGGTGATGGCTATATTCAAAAGAACCATGTCAATGTTTTGTTTGTTGTTTGACGCCGCACTCGGCAAAATTCCACCGACGGCGGTCTGTAAAATATCGAGTCTGGAACAGACTCCAGTGATTGACATCATGAGCATCGAATTGGGATACGATTACATGAATCGACCAGTCAGCAAGCCTGACCACCCAATCCCATTAGTCGCCTCTTACGACAAGCATAGTCGCCTTTTACGGCAAACATGGGTTGCTGAAGACCTATATTGTACACCGCTCTTCACGGGTCAGCATGTCAATGAGTAATCCGGAAATGGATTAATGTGATACGATGTGTTGATTGAAAGCAATAACTAATTGCGGGAGTAGTGCACTTTACCGGGCGCACTTTTTCAGATCCAATTAGCGCTGTGGGGACTCGAACGCGCTTCGCCGGCTCACCGGCTCTGCTAATTAATGCGTTAATTAGCCTACGCTCTACCACTGGACCACAGGCGCTATCACATGTAATCAGTGCTCGTTTAACAGGTCATTAGAATCCCCATTGACATGCATGCGTAATTCAGTAAACAATGAATTGCGCATGCGTGTGACGTCACTGCCCGCTCTCCAATTCATCTTTTCTCGAAACCACACCCGCAATTGTTTATGTCAACATGACCGACCAATGGGATTAACTGGATTAACGCTTGAAAAGGTAAGAATTTATGGCTAACCCTTGCCCAAACCCACTGACCCTAATGACCGAAAAGGGGTTTTGGATCGTAAAGACGTGTAAGTTTCCCTAAGACCGAAAACGGGTGTTGGATCGTAAAGACGTGTAAGTTTCCCTAAGACCGAAAAACGGGTGTTGGATCGTAAAGTTGTGTAAGTTTCCCTAAGACCTAGAACGGGTGTTTGATCGTAAAGATGTGTAAGTTTCCCTAAGACCGAGAACGGGTGTTTGATTGTAAAGATGTGTAAGTTTCCCTAAGACCGAAAACGGGTGTTGGATCGTGAAGCGAGAGTCACCAGAGCGTGAGGCACGGTAACGGTATAACGAGACAGCGGTGGCACTATAGCGCGGTAATTGAGCGGATGGTAGAGCTCGGGCTGCGCCCGGTAAACTGCATTGTTGCCCTAATTGCAGGCTGTCGGTGATAAATTCACTCATCATCTGCTAGTACTGGGTTATTTAGATATGTAAGTGTCAAACCTGTGTTGTTTTAGGTTTGGCTGCCATTTTGACGCTCACTGCTATCGTATTTCTGATTGGTTGGATTGGGTGTATCTAAAAGCTAAACTCAACAAATGAACAGTGCAACGCAGGAAATTATATTGAAATTTCATAATATCATTAATTAGTAATTGCAGAAAAGACACATAATTCTAATATTATCAAATATCTTTATATTATAATTTGTTAGATTTCTGGTGATATATGTATTGCTTATGTCTTGGCTGTTTTCGTTTATGCTATTGTAAATATAGTAGAAATCCAAGCTCCTTCCCAGCGCGTGACACCTTCGTTACACTCTCGGTAAAGAGAGATCCGCGAACGGACTATCGCTGTGAGGAGCTTGAGTATAAATCATGAAGGGAAGGATCAAGCTCCTCACAGCGATAACCCGTTCGCGGAGCTCCTATATACCACTCTCATACCCAGAGTTCCATGCGACCAGCAGCCAGCCAGCCAGCATAGTACCTCTGCCATAGGCCAGCGCCAAGTGACGATTCGTCACATCTTTCACAGTTCATTCAAGATATTGAATATGCTTTTCATCCGTTTCATGTTTGACTAGTCTACACATTTTCATAAACAAATATCAAAGAATGGTTACGGTTCATTTAGAAAGTATCCTAATACGTGAAAATCTATTTGTTTTTGCGTAGTTATCTAGCTTCGTTTACATTGGTTGTACGGCTCTACGTGCTGTCTTCGAAGCCCAACGGAGAGCTAGCGATACGGTCACTTTGATGTATAAATATATATTGTCATGAATTCACTGTCGCAGTGGTAGTAGCATATCTATATAATTATGCAAAACAATATGTTAAGCGCCCCCAAATACTTGCATTAGTCCGTTCTATACTGATTTCTGAAAAAGCGCGTTTGTTTACAAACAAGAGAAAAGTCCGGTCACGTGATATGCAAATTAGCCTGTGGCAGTGGTGTTATGCTGAGTCACCACTGCGCCGGAGTGTGCCTATATACTATATGTTACCGAGAGTGTAACGAAGGTGTCGCGCGCTGGGAAGGAGCTTGGGTGAAGGACGTGATATTTATTCTCCACACAGGGCACTAAAGCACCTAGTGGTATCTACGAGTACAAACATGTGACGTAGTTCGTGTCTTTTGTGACAATAGGTTCATGTTTCAAATAAACATGTCCGTGTATGTACAAATAGCCAGTATTTATTCATATAGTAAAACCTTAATTACACTGAATGTGTACAGATATGTCTTTTTAGATTGTTGTAAAGTTTGAAACCTAGTGAGAGAAAAACTTTGTCACCTTACTTCATGAATGTTTCAACAGAAACAATTCAAGTTTCTTCACACTTTATATTAGTTTCGTCACTTTTTCAATCGCTGTTTACACCGCAGTACACTTAGGGACTGAAGGTGTTGGGGTTTGTGTTTTTGTATGATGGATGTATTAATTAATTAAGTCCATATATACTGATCAAGCTGTAACAAATGTCTTTTGACATCGTACAATATTTAATTGAGATTTGTAGCATAATAATTGTTCCTCTTCTTTCTTATACCCTGTTCCGCACAAGCATTCGGGTCTATTCCATTGTCAAGGAGGGGTTGAATGGTGGATACAGAAGTGTTTTACCAGCGCAGGTGTCGCGTTCAGAGGAAGAATATAACACAGCACTAAATATATAACCGCGCTCGAACCTTACCCGTATTGTAACCCCAATGATCCGAACGTAATGACGATGTAACAAATGTTATATTTGGGATAACACTTTCTTTGTAAAGTACAGATTCTAGTACTTTTTTAGGTTGAGTAATGACCATGTTTATCGCTAGCAAAATGGATGAACACACAATGCCATTTAGAAAGTGGTCAAATGTAACAAATGTTATATTTGGGATAACACTTTCTTTGTAAAGTACAGATTCTCGTACTTTTTTGGGTTGAGTCCCGTCCCAAAAGTGTACGAAAATCTGTACTTTACTAGGAATGTCTTATCCCAAGTATAACATTTGTTACAGCAAAATGGATATTCCTTGAAAAGCACATTGCATTGTTTTCATTATTGTAAGTAATATTTCTTATCGCCAGAATAGCTTGCTTGCATGCCATAAGTATTAGAACACGTATACCATCTTCGCTAATTAATACACGCAGTATCTGGTAATACTATTTCAAGTTGCAAGGACCATATTGCCAGCTCATCATGCCTTCTTCAGAAGTATCGTCCATAATGGCAGTAATGGTAGATACACTGATGCATCGATGGATCACAATATTCTACTTCTCGATACAAGTATCGATCACAATCGCACATGAAGTAAAATGTATCGATTCTTACCTTAACTGTATTCTTTAATAAATGTTACTCTAAACACTAATTACTAGTGAAAATGGGTACTGAAAACGTAAATATTTTCATCCATTGTGCCACTTGATACTGCCAACTGTAGTGTGCCAGGTATTTGGCCACCCCGTCTATGAAAGATGGCTTACGCACCACAGATACGAGCACATGCAAGTTTGGTGTATCGTCCAAGACCTACAAAATGGCCACCCGGGCCATGCCATGTCTTTCTGCATTCGGATTTTGATGCAAAGGTACACAGTTTCCGGCTCAATTACCGCCCAGGTCACCTAATCACCAAAAAGCCCAGATTACCTATGTCTGTGGTGACCACAGCTCCTCGCTGGAAGTCACATTAATTAGACACTGCGAGACATCTCATCTGACTGACTGCCCAGTCCATCGCAGAAAGAAATCTCGGAATGACGTGTATCATCTTCTTGGGAATATTAAATATCTTAAATCTCTGATGTTTTCTGTCGAAATATTGACATAAACCTATTTCAGAACTGATTGAATCATCGGATGAGTAGTCAATGCAGCAAGGCAACTGAGGTTGCGGGGGTGGGGGTAGGGGTGGGGAGCACCGTTGCAGGACAGTCTAGTATAGCAAACCCAGGTCACGTAACTACCTCTACCTCTCTTGTGTGTTAGGGGCACGGGTGGCCCAGTCGTCTAAGGCGCCGCGATTCGCTGTGCAGAGTTGCCTCCCCTGGGCATGCCAGAAACCTATGATTGTGGGTTTGAATCCCGGTTCGCCCCGATTATGTTTCTAGGTTTGTCAGCACCATACCCGTGCTCGTGGGTTTTACCGAAGTGGTAAACGTCTGAGACCCGCATCACTTCGGGCTTTCCTCCCACATTAAGCTGACACGCCGTGATATAACTGGAGTAGTGTTAAAAGCGGCGTTAAACCCAACTCACTCACTCTTCTGTGTAAGGATTGGGCGAAGTGGGGGGACACCGTTGCAGGCCAGTCTCATATAGCAAACCCAGGTCACCAAACTACTTCTACCTCTCTTGTGGGTAAGGATTGGGCTGAGTTGGGGAGACACCGTTGCAGGCGGGAAGACAATCAATGGGTTTTCGATGCCATTATACTTATCTTTCCATATGTTTAGTATCATTTAAGATTAACAGGAAACGCATGTGCACCATATATGATACACTGGGCAATACGTGACTCCCCAGAGGAGATACCGCAAATGGAAAAAATACTTTTATAAGTTTCCTATGATTTCACTTTTCTTAAGAAAATTATTGAAATGTTTCCGAAATGACTTTTAGTAGTTTATGAACATTTACATGATAAAGCAAATGTGTTCTTTCCCAGGTAACTGACCGTAAAATTATAGACTTACTATTTCTAAAGGTTAAATAAATAAATTAACATAGCATAGATTTGCCCAAGAGATTTGCTATTTTACTTGCAGAAGGAGTTTCCAGCCCGGAAGGGCAAATACCGTTACAGAGTAGCAGTAACGCCAGTTGTAACATTGGTTCAAGGAACAGTTGGGTGTAAGTAGCATTATCAGGAGACATGCTTTCTACAACTCACTAACAGATATCACAGTTCAAGGTTGCAAACATATGTATTACAAATATATATATAATATTCCTGTTTGTATGATGTCCTCATGTATTCGATTTAAAACAAACCCTATTCTAAGAAGCTCAATTGTAATATACAAATGAAGATAGTTTTGACGAAAAAACAACAATTAACTCGTTATCATCTGTCGCAAGTTTGCATTCAAAATAATTGTTCCTTTAGCTAACCCTGCTCTGGGAATGTATTAACGTAAGCTTGGTGTTATGATATAAGAGAGAATTAACATTCTATAAAGAATAAAACCAATATGTCTACTGAAGCGCAATGACCATATTCTTACGTCTAATGAATACACGTATCGGTGGCTTTAGGGTCAATTAAACGGTCTCAGTCACCCGACAATAATTGGGTATATAGATAATAAGGCACTATTCGGGAGGCATCAAGCTGACAAACAAAAGCTATATGCCCTGTCCTGACAGAGGTGTACGAGGTCACTAAATGTAAATCATGTAAGTACGTCCACACCAAGCCATCAGAGGTCGTGCGCGGATCACCGACCAGTCAAAGCCTCGTTTTGGCTCCAGCGGGGCACCCTGACCGTGTTGCACGCACAGAACCAGAGCGAGGGGTCATTCAGAGAGCAACGAGCGGGCGATGGGTCTCATCTAGGTCAGTATAGGTCATCTCAGGTCGCACTAGCTCGGAAACGGTATCACGACCCTCGTGGAAGTGCAAAGGGTTCAATATACAGACGGTCTATTACAGTGGACAGCGCCAGGCGTTAACGATGCATAACGACCCGACATCAACACATTTCCAGAATGGACTCGTCCGGCTGTTGTTTACCAACAGAATACACAACATACAGTAGCACTAGCAGCGAGGCGCGAGGGACGCTCAAATGCTGATGTTGCAAAATTCACGATGTACTGACGATAATGCAAGAAAGGAAACAAACAGTCTCAAATCATCAGACGTGATTTTAATTTCACCGAGTTGCTAACTCTGGACTGTTGAACAGAATATCTCGACTTTTTTGCAGTTATTAACCACAAAAATACATTAACGGTAAATCTCATTAAATTTGCCGTACTTCTATAATTATACGTTCCTGCGTTAGAGAATTAATCGCATGTACATATCTTATGTTGAATTGGTAATTGGGGTTGGGAAAGACTATGATATTCTCTCAAGGTTATTTTAAATCATTTAAATGTCAATCTGGTATAGATCCCGTGAAGATTCCGGGTTCGAATTGGGGTTTTTTATCGATCACGTGAAGATTCCGGGTTAGAATTGGTTTTCAACAACCCATGCTTTTCATAAGAGGCGACTAACGGAATCGGGTGGTCAGGCTAGCTGACTTGGTTTATGCATGTCATCGTTTCCCAATTGCGTGGATCAATGCTTATGATGTCAATAACTGGATTGTCTGGTCCACACTCGATTATTTACAGACCGCCGTCTTTTAGATATTGCTGAGTGCGGCGTTAAACAATAAACAAACAAACAATCTATAGTAATTGATTAACGTCGTTATGTAATTAAACACAGCGTTACAATGAATAGGATAGGGCTCCAGACTGTGAAGAGGAAAGATCCTGTTTAAAAGGACATGCGACATATACATTTTAAACTTGTTAACTACTTGTGGAAAAAGATTAACTAGTTTTCAAATTCTCCAAATTAGACCGGTTGAAGAATTTGAAAAAGAAACAATTGCTTCACAACAATAGCTGTCGAGTTAAACAAACGAGTTAAACTGACTTCTTCTAACTGCATCATTTGTTATTGTGTGGGTATTCGACTGACATTAAGTGTCAAAATGTCATCATTAACCTCAGTTTAAAGGATTTCTTACATTGGATTTCATTATTTTTATTATTATGGAGATGAATTATCGAATGCAGTGGGTCGCTGAAATACTCAAACTCAAAGAAGTTAAAGAACACCCGAATGTTTCATATTACCATAGCCAATCGGTCTAACATAAAGTCTATGAGATCTTATATATTACATAATACCCTTCTCCCCTCTTAAATTGAAACAAATAATTTTCCCGATGTGGAATGGAGCTAGCTAGAGCTCGCGAGACTCGCTTGTGTGTATATATATATATCTACATGGGTTTTATTTTCATTGAATAAATATATTCCACAGTCATGGTGCAGGACGAGGCAGGGCATGACAGATTAATAAACGTAGTATGAAAGAGCCAGGTGTTCTTTAACTTCTTTTGAGCAGTATACACAGCCGTGTCTCGCACTTGACGTGTTATGATATGAACTTTAAACCCTTCTCTATACAGGCTGTCGAACATGACAAACCTAGTAAGCTGACCACATCAGTCGGTCTGGCCGAATCCAACCTTGGACAAGGTCATTTTGACACTGAACTCATGGGTGAACTTGGCATGACCGACTGAAAGGCTAGGCTTTCCTGACCCAAGCAATCAACGACTGCACGAGTGATGTAAGACAATGGGCGATGCCATTCGTTGACGGGGAAAGAGAATAGACTCTCCCTTATCTACATGACGCTGTTCTTGAGAAAAGAAACGATTCGATTATAAAAGCTGTTTATCGAAGTGCCACCATGGACTGTTAAGAAGTTGATAATTTTGACATTATCTGTCGACTTGAAGTTACAGGCGTGATAGATACTTCTTGTTTTAGTAGAGGTAGATCTACAGTTTTTCATTTTGGATAAAATATTATGTGAAACACTTTGTATAAACTTGTGAGAAGCGACTCACGTGGATCGGGTGGTTAGGCTCGCTGACTTGATTGATGCATGTCATTGTATCACAATTGTAGGGATCAATGCTCATGATATCAATCACTGGCATGTCTGGTCCAGACTCGATTATATACAGACAGCGCTCATATAGCTGGAATATTGCTGAGTGCGGCGTTAAACAACAAACAAACCACACACAATCTTCTGTGGCCTGACGCAGAGAAAAGTACAACAAAGAGCCAAGGTGTCGTGTCTGGCTGTCTTTGGGTGATTACAGTGCTATAATGGGCATTGCACCCCACAGAGGCCGACACATGTCTGTGTGTCGTCATATGATGTCTGTGGCATGGTTATATTGACCGCCGTAATCACTACATACGTGCTGGTATATGGATTACCTCCCCTTATGACTAAAGCCTCGCCCCCACCCCAGTCCGTCACTCATCTGTGTTCACTCGCAGTTCTCAAAACACGCAAAAGAGTGCGATTATTATCAGTCCAATAGAGACCTTAATGACTTTGATCTTCTGATGAACGACATTGTCTGCCATGATTGGATGGGTTATAGTCATAATCACTGACATCAACCACGCGATGTTCGAAGCCTTCTGTTCCTGCACGTGCCGTTTCGTTATGTAAATATATTGATCATTGATCCATGTCCTCTGAACAGCGCAGGTGTCTACACGCTAGTCTAACTTCAATATTCTTTTTAATTTACTTAAAATTAATTTCCGTCAATTTACAAATTACTTGATTCACTCCGACACAATATGCATTGCATGTTATTGAATAATTAGACTGACATACTCTACCATTAAGTAAATTACAAACTGGGGTTATTTGTTTGACCCCATTGACAAAAATGTACGGTAAATAAAGTTGCTCAAAGATAATAACAAGGAGAATCCCTCTCCTATGAACTCCCTGAAATATATCCTGAAGGTTGATCGCGCTTTACTACGCACTAGTTGTCTGTGCGTGCGTACGGGTATCACATGCATTGATTAGTATAAGAGTATGAATTAATGTCGGGATCATGTAAGATTAGCAATATCGATGGCGAAAGACGCCAGAACTAGTTTGGGAAAATACGTTTGCTTATTTCAGTTATTTGTAAACTTGGTTTAACAAAAAACAATACTCTTAGCAGCTATATCGGGCAATACACCTGATTTGTTGTAGAACAAGTTCTAACCAATATCCATACAATTTAAATCTGTTATTTTCAGTTGGGGTGGCTTTTACTGATTTGTATTTGGTAGTCGGAGGTCGTATAGTTCCAGTACACGACGTGCATGTCTCACATCTTCACGTAATGTTATCCCGTGCTAGTCGAGGCCGAGTGGGCAGTGCGGTGGTTGGGTTGACCAACAGTGGAGATCAGTTCTGATGGATACCCATTACGTGTACCCAACCTTCAGTGGTTTGTCTGGTCCAGGCCGGAACTCGTCACATGGCGCTATCTCGAATTCTCCACAGTACTCCATGCTTGTGAATCTCATCTATCCGCACTTGTTTTGAAGCGTGCGTAAACTCTTCCCCACTCAACAATACACCTTTCGATCATCGTTCACGTAAACTGGATCTCAACATCTTGTACTAGAAAAAAATATTTCCCCAAGACCAAGATAACTTCATATGTTCCGGTTGATATTGTATTAATGAGACATGATCTGTAGCGTGTTATAGAGGACCAATTCACAGGCGTACCGGGGCTGATATTGTGTTAATGAGACATGATCTGTAGCGTGTTATAGAGGACCCATTCACCGGCGTACCGGGGCTGATATTGTGTTAATGAGACATGATCTGTAGCGTGTTATAGAGGACCCATTCACCGGCGTACCGGGGCTGATATTGTGTTAATGAGACATGATCTGTAGCGTGTTATAGAGGACCCATTCACCGGCGTACCGGGGCTGATATTGTGTTAATGAGACATGATCTGTAGCGTGTTATAGAGGACCCATTCACAGGCGTACCGGGGCTGAACTATTCGAAATATGAATTAATTATTTGTGAAGTTAAACGTCATCATCATAGACCGGTTCCCAATAAGCATCTGCTTGGAGTCTTACCCTTCGGACCGTGAAGATGTGGGTTGGAATAGGTCTTCAGCAACCCATGCTTGCCGTAAAAGGCGACTATTTTGGTACTAAGAGACGACTAAGGGGATCAGGTGGTCAGACCTCCTGACTGGGATGATGCATATCATCGTATCCCAATTGCGGATCGATGCTCATAATGTCAATCACTGGATCGTCTGGCCCAGACTCGATAATTTACCGACCGCTGTCATATAGCTGGAGTGCGGCGTTAAACAACAAACAAATAAATCTTACTTTTTGCCAACCGGCGCGTTATTTGCGTCGATTACGGCACAACGAGCTCCTGTAGCTACCTTCTTGAACAAGCTTCTCTTTTTTCAAGTAAGACTTATCATACTGGTCGATCTGCCGGGGTAATTGTCACGTCAATACATGGCCTCCAACCAGAAGCGTTTGTCCTTAATGAAATACCGGTACAATAGATATAACGAATACATCAAACTAAGCGTTTTCTTGTTTACATTAAGTTATCGAAAAGCAGTCCAAGATTTTTTTCCTTACATCTTAATTCGTGTTTAAATATGTGCTGGGTTACAAACAAATTTGTATGATGTGGCAATTGTTTCTTAAATAATGTAAAATCACACCCATTTATTTTGTGTAGCAATTTTATCTCGAGGAATTGAAAAACGTATTTTTTCTGAAGCAACTGTACCCAAAACAATACAAAGAAAGTCTTGTGAGTTTTTGTGCTCTGATAAAGGCAGTCGCAGGTGCTCGAAATGATACACAATGATCGATCCCTTAACCGGAAGAGGGTAATTGGAGGCTCCACACGAATACTCCGCCATGTCAAATTTCCAAGGGTGAAATCTGCGACAAGCAGCACCTATACGACAACAGTATGGCCAAGCAGTCCATTTCGACTATACAAGAAAAGGTAATAACATTTTCAACAATAAAAACGGAAAACTGTTTCGCATAATGTGATCTGGGGGGCGTGGTCGTGTGTGACCAAGGGCCCACTAACGAGATCGCTCAGACCCTCTCAAGCTCACGCCACGCTCCCCCATCTCGGTGTTACGTGGACGTCTAATTAGCTATTGTGACTTTTAATTAGTGATTATTACATTTGTTTACAATAATTAGGTGTGTGCTAGCATTAGTGGTGCTTTGTGCTTATCAGTCACCGTTGTTTGGATGTGTTAGACATAAGGGTTGTTTCTGGATGCAGAGGGACCATTCATTGCAACTTCGGAAAAAGTACTGTTAGATGACATGTATTAGCCACATATGGATCTTATGACATCTGATTTCAGATCATACAAAAGTTATCAAACGTAATCAAGTTCTTCAAATAATAAACTGTTTACCATATTTAATTTATGATATGCTTCAATTTTTTTTACTGTAACCCTTGATAGTAAATAAATATTTAGTGGTAATGTTGTAGCCATTGAATTGAATTGATAAGTTTAAATCTGTTATTTAATCTATTTAGGATATATCTTCATGGTGAAATTGTATTTGCAACCAAATAAGTTTTGTTCTGATTGATTCCTCAACAGATAAGGCATATCGAGATCATCTCCCTTGATCTGTGTGTGCAGCAATAATTAACACAGAGATATTAGGCATGACACGTGCCACACATAGCCTATCTCCCTTGACAAAAACAATCTGCTTCATGCTGATCTTCCGTAATGATCGGACCACAATTTATTATAATGGTCCTGTTCCATATCTTATCTTTTGTTTGTAGACTGAAATATTATTGAAACTAGAAACATTTAAGATTTCTTCCTCTCAGAGGGACACATCAGTAATAGAGAGGAGAAAAAGTAATGGCTTCAGGTATTCTCTGGTTTCTTCAAGGCGTGAAGTTTTCCCGATTTTGGTTGCCAGCTGCAGCAGTCAAGGGATATCTATCAACATTAGGGGCTGAAATTTGAATGCAGTTTTAAGCCCATGCCGAACCAGAACTTTATGATCGTTTCTTGATCTCCTGTCAACCCTTCATATTTGTGAACTCCTCTGAAAAAAAGCCAGCGATGATGACGTTGGACACAGGGATGACGTTGCACACATGGGAGATGACGTTGCACACAGTGGATTTGTAATTGCACACAGGGGTAGATGATGTTGCACACAGGGTAGATGACGTTGCACACAGGGTAGATGACGTTGCACACAGGATAGATGACGTTGCACACATGGGAGATGACGTTGCACACAGGGTAGATGACGTTGCACACAGGATAGATGACGTTGCACACATGGGAGATGACGTTGCACACATGGGAGATGACGTTGCACACAGGGTAGATGACGTTGCACACAGGGTAGATGACGTTGCACACATGGGAGATGACGTTGCACACAGGGTAGATGACGTTTCACACTGGGTACAAGACGTTGCACACAGGGGTAGATGATGTTGCACACAGGATAGATGATGTTGCACATAGGACTAGGTTAGACTAAGCCCACAAAATGTACCTTCTGTACCTGTGTCATTCTCATTTAATCTTGTATTAATGTACATTGTTCAAATATGTTTCAGATTGTAGGAATAGAAGCTGTTTTTTCCACTCTTGGATCAGGGGAACGTGAGAATGCTGTTGGATTGCTGGAGGAATACCTACAGAAGCTCCGAGGTCAGATCAAAACTCCCGAATCAGGTCCAACTGAATCCCGCTCTGTGAAGGCGGAGACTGTCCCCGTGAAGACTGAGAAAGATCATCAGCAAGAGGATGGTGCGAAGACTTCAGGGGAAGTTCCCAAAGTCACCAAATCCCGCAGGAAACAGAATGTTGCACCACCTGTCCATAAACCAACTGAAGAAGTTAAGGTATCGTCGCGAGGAAGGATGACAAAGTTGCGTCAAAGTTATGCTGACTCTGATTGTGAAGACGATGGTGTTGGTTTTGATGATGTGCCTAAACCCAAACCAATGCCCAACAAGCGAGGAAGGCCACCAGGCAGCGGAAAGGCCAAACAAGCAGCTGTGGTGAAGATGGAGATGAGGAGGGTGATGGAAGCAGACATGGAGCTTGAGGATAAACCTGACACTCTTGCATCCCGAAGAAGAGGGAGGAAAAAGCGTAAAATGAAATCCATGTTTAATGCATCTAAAACAAAGCGATTGTATGTTCAGAAGAAGAAGTTTGTGTGTAAAGCTTGTGGGATGGAGTTTAAACATTACAAATCAATGGCTGTTCATATTCGATCACATGGCAACAATCTCCTGTCGTGTCGGCACTGCAAACGTGAGCTTCAGAACGAGGTAGAACTTCTGCATCACGACTGTCAGAAACTCTCGGCTGTCAGTTATACGTGTCCCTCGTGTGGTGAGAAGTTCACGAAGAAGAAACATTGTAAGGTGCACATGTTAGAAACACACAACCTCAAATACAACAAAGTGATGGGGAGGAGCACGAAGAACATTTGTCGTTTCTGTAACAGGACATTCGTGCGGAAAGTGTCCCTGTTTATGCATTATAAGACCCATGCTGAGACTTCATTTGTGTGTTTGAAGTGTGGAGAGATTTGTGAAGACTTTGCCATATACACAGAGCATATGCTTGAACACGACAAGGCCGCATCATTTGACTGTGATAAATGCGGCGCGACGTTCGAGCGTCAGCAGCAGTACCTACAGCATCTGGTGGGGCACAGGAAGTATGACTGTCCGGACTGCAACATGTGCTTCACACGGAACAAGGAACTTCTACGTCACCGCCGCATCATCCACGGCGACCTGCCCCAGCCAGAGCTGAAGAAGTTCGAGTGCTATGTGTGTTTCAAGAAGTTTCAGCGTCCGATGCAGCTGGAGATCCACATGAGGATACACACAGGTAGGTCACTCATTCATCCACGCCTGGAAACACACACGTAGGTCATTCATCCACACCTGGATACACACAGGTAGGTCACTCATTCATCCACACCTGGATACACACAGGTAGGTCACTCACTCATCCACACCTGGATACACACAGGTAGGTCACTCACTCATCCACACCTGGATACACACAGGTAGGTCATTCATCCACACCTGGATACACACAGGTAGGTCACTCACTCATCCACACCTGGATACATACAGGTAGGTCACTCATTCATCCACACCTGGATACACACAGGTAGGTCACTCACTCATCCACACCTGGATACACACAGGTAGGTCATTCATCCACACCTGGATACACACAGGTAGGTCACTCACTCATCCACACCTGGATACACACAGGTAGGTCATTCATCCACACCTGGATACACACAGGTAGGTCACTCATTCATCCACACCTGGATACACACAGGTAGGTCATTCATCCACACCCGGATACACAGAGGTAGGTAATTCATAAACACCTGGATACACACAGGTAGGTCATTCATCCACACATTGGGGGCGGTCGGGTAGCCTAATGGTTACAGCGTTCGCTCGTCACGCTGAGACCTGGGTTCGATTCCCGACATGGGTACAATGTGTGAAGCCCATTTCTGGTGTCCCCCACCGTGATATTGCTGGAATATTGCTAAAAGCGGCGTAAAACCATACTCACTCACTCACTCACTAATCCACACATGAATACACACAGAGGTAGGTCATTCGTTAACGCCTGGATACACACAGGTAGGTCATTCATCCACTAATGGATACACACAGGTAGGTCACCCATTCATCCACACCTGGAGTAGGTCACTGATTCATCCACACCTGCATACACACAGTTAGGTAATTCATAAACACCACACCTAGATACACACAGATAGGTCACTCATTCATCACACCTGGATACACACAGGTAGATCACTCATTCATCCACACCTGGATACACACAGGTAGGTCACCCATTCATCCACACCTAGATACACACAGGTAAGTCACCCATTCATCCACACCTGGATACATACAGGTAGGTCACCTATTCAATCACACCTGGATACACACAGGTAAGTCACCCATTCATCCACACCTGGATACATACAGGTAAGTCACCCATTCATCCACACCTGGATACATACAGGTAGGTCACCTATTCAATCACACCTGGATACACACAGGTAGGTCACTCATTCATCACACCTGGATACACACAGGTAGGTCACTCATTCATCCACAACTGGATACACAGGTAGGTCACCCATTCATGCACACCTGGATACACACAGGTAAGTCACCCATTCATCCACACCTGGATACACACAGGTAAGTCACCCATTCATCCACACCTGGATACTCACAGGTAAGTCACCCATTCATCCACACCTGGATACATACAGGTAAGTCACCCATTCATCCACACCTGGATACATACAGGTAAGTCACCCATTCATCCACACCTGGATACACACAGATAGGTCGACCATTCATCCACACCTGGATACACACAGGTAGGTCACTCATTCATCACACCTGGATACACACAGGTAGGTCACTCATTCATCCACAACTGGATACACAGGTAGGTCACCCATTCATCCACACCTGGATACACACAGGTAGGTCACCCACTCATCCACACCTGGATACACACAGGTAGGTCACCCATTCATCCACACCTGGATACACACAGGTAGGTCACTCATTCATCCACACCTGGATACACACAGGTAGGTCACCCATTCATCCACACCTGGATACACACAGGTAGGTCACCCATTCATCCACACCTGGATACACACAGGTAGGTCACTCATTCATCCACACCTGGATACACACAGGTAGGTCACCCATTCATCCACACCTGGATATACACAGGTAGGTCACCCATTCATCCAAACCAGTATCTGTGTATAATGCATCTTTCCGAGGCAAGGGAGTTAACTGACTATAAAAGTCTAGTTTCCAAGATATGTGGAAGATATGTATATGATGTATGTCAGTGTGTGATCTATGGATCTGTGGTTGTTGCAGGCGAGCGGCCATTAGAGTGCGCTACGTGTCAGCTCTCGTTCCGGACAACGAAGGCCCTTGCCAAACACCGGCAGACCTACAATCACTGTCTGAAGGCGGGGCTGTCCACACAGGAGAAGAAATACCTGTGTTCAGAATGTGGCAAAGCTTACTTCAGGTAACCATAGCAACTCTTCATAATAATGACACAACAACTGAGGGTTATTCCAAGTCAGTCAGACAAATTTTACTATTTCGAACCTATGTATACAACTACAACTTCAAGTATGGTGTTTGTATTATATACTACTTTGTTCATTAAGTATTGTCAAATACTTCAAGCATGCACAGATTGTTTCCCCCCAGTATTGAAAGTATTCACCCAGAGTAGACAGTATACACCAAGTGCCAGTATTCACCCAGTGTAGACAGTATTTAATCAGAACCATTAAATTGATGCTTTAGAAAAACTGTAGATATACATTGCCAGTTAACTTCCCAAGTTCCAGCAGTATAGGACGATGGTAACAACAGCCATTATGCTGATACCTGTAACTGAATACATGCTGCAAGTAATGCTGTGAATGTTTTCCGTGTTGTTCAGGAAACAGGCCCTGCAGCGCCACATCCGTTACCACACCGGGGACAAGCCCCACACCTGCCAGTACTGCGGCTACAAGTGTCGGGAACAGAATAATCTGAAGCGACACATCGCACTGCACTTTGAGAATCTTCGCAACTTCATCTGTGAGGTGTGCGGGGCCGCTTTTCACGCCAAGAAGACGCTGGAGATGCATCATAAGTACAAGCACACCGAGATCAGGGACTTCCCCTGCCACGAGTGCCACATGTCCTTCAAGGCCAAGAACGCCCTGAGGCGCCACATCAAGACGCACGAGAAGACCAAGGACCATAAGTGCTGGTGTGGCTCAGCTTTCGGACGCATGTACAATCTCCGACGCCATATGAGGATGGTGCATGGCGACGAAGAGTCACTTCCACCCGTTAGGAAAGTCGCAGTTCTTGATGCAGCAAATGCAATCAAACAGGCAATAAAATCTCCTCCCGCCAAAAAGAGAATGTACAAACTGAAACAAATCCCGATTGTGACTTCTGTGGCTTCTGACCACGAGACGATCATCATGAATGTCGTGTCGGACCAGATGACAGAAGCAGCCCACAGCTCCCAGGCACCCATCTACACCCTCCCCCAGCAGCATCAACAAGTAGCATCACACATGGGGGAGGAACAGCAGCAACAGCAACAACAGCAACAGCAACAGCAGCAGCATAACATGGTCTATGAGACGGTGACCATGCCACCGTCCATGGTGGCATATCATCACAATGCCCCTCCTCCCCCACCTATTGGTGCTGAAACTGTCGTGGACAATCGGGCTCAACAGCAGCAGCAGCAACAGCAACAGCAGCAGCAACAGCAACATCAACAGGCTGACTACTACAACAACCCAAGCATGTTGGAAGCACAGGCTAATGACTACAACAACCCCTACATGTACATACAGAACGTCCTCCTGCCGTCGGTGGCTATGGCCGGGCTACTGGACCTGTCACATGCTCCTCCACCCAAACAGTGATACCCGGACAGCCACAGCTGTAGATACAGGGCAGTCTCATTGAAATCAAATGTTTTACTCTAGAAGGTGAAGTCTAAATGGAGGATGTGTGATTCTAGAGCCAATTGATCATACTTGCTTCTTGGTGTCTTCCACTTGATGTATCCACAGGACTATACTGGTGCTGCCTTTATCAGTTACATTCGGAACTGACTGATTAACTTCATTTTCAATATAGGCTTGTCTGAATGCTTCACTCATTGGCACCAAAAATTTAGAATCATCAATGTTCATTGGCTGATTAGAAAGTTCATCAGACGCGGCTTTCTTTGATGTCGCACTGAGGTGTTGTATCAGAGTAAAAGATCTGATTGTGATGAGATTGTATACAGGGCATCCCCCAGCCTACAGAGTGCTACATTTCACATGCGTTTCAAACTAACGTTCAGAAAATCCTACAATGTGATTCCTCTTACAAATGTGATATTTCCAGAAGAAAACTTGCATATTTCTGGCTTTAAAATCATATTCATGTGTTGCCAAAAATATACTTTTTGTTTACCTCTCCAGGACAGGGTGCGTGGGAGGGTGGGGGTGTTTGTTTGGGGATACAGTCTGGAGGGACATTGATGATATGACTGATGGGGACTGGCTTTGTTTTGCATGACATTAAACATACTTAGTGATTGTAAAATTATGAAAAAGTGTGCACAGATATATTCCTCTTCTAGAATAGGGGGCGGTTGGGTAGCCTTGTGGTTAAAGCGTTCGGAAGACACGGGTTCGATTCCCAACATGGGTACAATATGTGAAGCCCATTTCTGGTGTCTCCCGCCGTGATATTCCTGGAATATTAATAAAAGCGGCGTTAAACCATACTCACTCACTCACTCTACTAGAATAAGAACAGGCAATAGAAAATATGTGAAGGTCTGATGTTGTGTGCAGATACTGCTGAGGAGATCTGGAGGAGGATGCCGGGGAATGCCAAGGTCAACATGGTAGCCTCACTACGACTGATCTCTCATGACTCAATTAGGTCTCTCTCTGTTGTTTCAGCTCCTTGATTTAACACATAATGATAAATACTTGCCATTTTCTGGGGCAAACTGTTGCATCAGCACACACAACAGTGCAACAGCTGATACAAGAAGCAGCAACTACTGGTGTAAAGGCAGGACCTTATTGATGTCATGCATAAAAGAACACTCATTCTCCTGAATATCAGTAGTCCAGAACATTAATGGTTTTCAAGTCAAATGCCCCAAATATCCCCAGTAGAGATACCTCAGCTTATTGATCCATCAACATCATTACTGCGACTGCTCCATCTTCAATACTTGCAGGACCACGAACCTCCTCGTCGTCGCCAGTAGTCCCAGCATTCTCTACTGCCGCAGTATCACTCGTAACCTCCACTTATGTCGTATTGCCAGCTCATAGACTTCTTTTGAAAGGAATGTCAGCGTGTGTTATTTTGTTTTCAATGTACATACAGCAGTGTATATACCATGTTTGTTAGAAATGCATGCTTAAGTTTGGAGAATATCATTCTGGTGTTGAGTACATATGTACTTGGACCAGACCGTTGCTGCCCGGGAAGACAGCTATAGTCAGGAACTATCTTCTGTTGTTTGGTACTTGTTTAGATTTGTGGTTTCTATGGTAACTGACCGGGTTTGAACAAGGTTGCACCGTTATGTTCAGTTTTTTCAGCATGTTATTTTATATGCTGCATAGTATGTTTCCAGTATTGCATTATTCTCAAAATCTGTCAAGCATATTATTTTTTTTGTTTTTTAAATATACACCAGTGGATCAACAAAAGCTGCACACAGTTGCAAAAAGTCACTTTCCATGTTGAGTACATAATGTCAAGAGATTTATGTTGTTTGAGTTGAAAGGCTTTGGTATTTGCCACAATGCAATGAACTCTGTTACTCTGTATGGGATGGTTCCCCATGATGGATTGACTCACCACTGGTGTAGAGTAATGTCCCTTTGTAGATACATGACTGTTCCCAGTTGGCCAGATTAATGAGGGGTATCCAGACTAACAGGGTTTCACTGTAGCTCACCTGATGCAGGACAACATGCTACAGAAGGTGAGCTTGGGGACAATTAGGGGCTGAGGAGGAAATGTGTTGAGTATGTGTTGGCATGGATGCTGACTGTATAGAGTGTCGATAGTGTAAGTATTTAGATGTGTGAAGTATTATATAGAGACTGTCCCATAACCTGAGTACTGTAGTGACGTGCATGGTAACGTCCTGTGAAGGATGCAAATATCATATTGATATTATCATTAAGGTACCTTTGTTTGGTCGGATGGTTGTTCCAGATAACAGCATTAGCTTATGAGGACCGATACGGATTAGGTAACACTTCGAGGATGTAGTAGTTTCTGTAGGGCATAAATGTTATATCCCTGTAAACATGGTAAATGTTTTGTATTAAATTGAAATATTTATGAGGAATGTTTTTAGTTATACCTTTAGTATGTAATCACAAACATGATTACTCCGACATATTTGTGAAATAAGTAATGTGTGGGGAAGGAAGGGACGCACGGTATGTTGTTGACATCACACATTCAGTGAAACCCAGGATCGTGGTATGTTGTAGACATCACATATTCAGTGAAACCCAGGATCGTGGTATGTTGTTGACATCACACATTCAGTGAAACCCAGGATCGTGGTATGTTGTAGACATCACACATTCAGTGAAACCCAGGATCGTGGTATGTTGTAGACATCACACATTCAGTGAAACCCGGGATCGTGGTATGTTGTAGACATCACACATTCAGTGAAACCCAGGATCGTGGTATGTTGTAGACATCACACATTCAGTGAAACCCGGGATCGTGGTATGTTGTAGACATCACACATTCAGTGAAACCCAGGATCACAAGTAGCTGACAAACCAAGGGCATAAATCAGGGAAATCTGGGTCGCAAGTGGAACAACCAAGGGAGACAACTTTACACAGCATGTTGCAACTCCATCAAGCAGTGATCCATCAATGCCAAGCTTTCTTCATCTCACTGCAGTTCATTTATTTCAGTCCAGAACTAGTAAAATCAACAAATGACAAATAACTTCTTATCAAACTGATATTTATTAAGAACTTGCTGTATATGTTAAATACAAAGCTGCAAAGTCAACAGAACTTACAAATCACCCCAAGGATCACTGATGCAACTGTGGCATCAGGCCTGTGTCTCCTACTCAGATGCTGTATACACAAAGCTAGTGGTAATGTGGAACAAAGCACTTCTAAGTAACCATGGTAACAGCACACCCCTCCTCTGTAGCAGGATCTAGCTGGAGTATTTACAAGTTTGCAGGGGGTAGGTGTGAAGTGGACCCTGAGTCGTGTCATACGTCTTTGCAATTCGGGCGTCCTCACAAGGTAAAAGCTCCTTGTTTCTCTGTTCTCTTGAATGCAGGAGGATGTCTATTGGATTTCATAGCTGGGACATCTTAACCCCTGTGCATTCAACCCCAGCTTCAAACCATAACAACTGAAGGTCTGGGAACCTTCTCAATCTCATTAAAATCAGATCTTAGTTCTCGCTACCGCTAAACAAAGATCTGAGGACATCCTATTGGGCTCCCAATCAGAGTGTCCCTTACCAGATCATGAAAGTGACAGTCAGAATGTGTTTTCTAATCATGCAACCGCGAAATATTTAACAGAGGGTATTCCGAACAACAGTTACGGGTTTTATGATGATATCCATACAATCTTGGCCATCTGTAAGCCATTCCAGAATGTTGTTTAGAACATTTTTGAAATTGTTAATCAAGAATATGTCAAAATATGATTCGAAGCCGAGTCGCCAGTTTGAAACTAGTGTCATAAGGTTCGAGAAAGTTGCCTTCTGATTGGCTAATATTGATTTCTTGTCAGTCATTTCATAGGTCAGTCAAAGTTCGCGAAAGGTCGTCCTGATGTGACCAGTAAAGGGATGTCCTCAGATCTTTGTTTAGTGGTAGCGAAAACTAAGATCTGATTTTAATGAGTGGGGAACCCTCTCGGTGCAGCACAGAGGTTGAACATGTAGCCACTCTACAGCTTCCTGTGACCAGCATATTGTCAGGAGGAAATAACAGCAGCGAACATAATATTGAATATATAATAACAAAGACTTCCTGTCAGGCCGTACAGTGATGACATGGGTCAGACCTAGGGGTACGTAGCCAACACCAGACATTTCCATTAATACTTGTTTAACATTCTTAAGAATGATGACGAACTAGCCAAGTCCCTTCATGACCCGTTGAACAAGATTTTCCAGGCACTGCTAGTTTGTGAATCTGTGTTAAGCCTGGCGCCAACAGAGCAACTTTCACCACATGGCAGCCAGATGCTCTGACTTTAGGAGTCCGCATGACACGTTGTCAATCAGATGACCGCATTAGTATGATCATGAAGTGTTTCCATGACAACAGGGTGACAGGTCAATTTGAGCACATGACATGGGACTTGGCTGTCCATCACACATACCACAAGTTCCTGGAGAGAAATCCTTTCATCAGCACTAACAGCTCCTCTATTGCTTTATAGTTGTATTATTAATGAGATCAGAGAATATTAATCATGAAATGTTGACAATTACAAGTGTAAACACATGATCGTTGAAGTACTACATAGCCAGACCATGCTGAAGCGTATCTCGGACCCCAGTGAACACAAGGTGACCATGGTGAATGAGGATCCTTCACATATAACGTTATCAAGATGCTCCAAGCTATCTACGAGCTGCTTCATCACAGAAAGGTTCCTCTTGCTCATATTACACAAACTCAGGACAAAACAAACAGGAAAAGATGATGTTCTTCAACATCGATACTGAGTGCAGTTTGAAGGGAGAGGCAAGATTGGCAGACATTATATATATTTCAGAATTTATCAGAATTAAGCCATGACATGACATGGCATAGGTATGTAATGACCTCTCCCTCAGTTGTCCAAACAAAATATCTCAGCCCTCCACAAAGTAATTTCTGCTCCAGCAATCCACTTCAGCTCTGCTGGATGCTGTGCAGCCAAGATGACCTCGAGATCGAGCTGGTGAAAGAAATATGTCACTAATCCCAGCAGTAGACTATGGATGGATCAACTTAGCATGATAACGTTGTGCATAGTACTGAATCAACAGTTAGCCGTCGCTGTACAGATATGTAGAGGTGTCAGTGCCCTATGTACAGGTGCCCTGGTGTGTAGAGAACAGGAACAGCAAGACAACATGACAACACGTGCAGGACTCCACTCATCATCCTCAACTAGCCAGTGTACCTCTGTTCTATGATCATCCTCAACAAGCCAGTGTACCTCTGTTCTATGATCATCCTCAACTAGCCAGTGTACCTCCGTTCTATGATCATCCTCAACTAGCAAGTGTACCTCCGTTCTATGATCATCCTCAACAAGCCAGTGTACCTCCGTTCTATGATCATCCTCAACTAGCCAGTGTACCTGTTCTATGATCATCCTCAACAAGCCAGTGTACCTCCGTTCTATGATCATCCTCAACTATCCAGTGTACCTCTGTTCTATGATCATCCTCAACTAGCCAGTGTACCTCCGTTCTATGATCATCCTCAACAAGCCAGTGTACCTCTGTTCTATGATCATCCTCAACTAGCCAGTGTACCTCCATTCTATGATCATCCTCAACATGCCAGTGTACCTCTGTTCTATGATCATCCTCAACTAGCCAGTGTACCTCCGTTCTATGATCATCCTCAACAAGCCATTCTATGGAGTTGTTTGATAGGCCGCTCTTAGAAGTTGAGGGATGACAAAGCAGATACAATTTATGTATAACAACTTCTTTAATATACTATTATAGTGGAATTTCGGTATAGATCCTTGTACCGCTGTCAAGCAAGACTCTATTCTAGTGTGATATATACTCAGGATCCATTCACCACCATAGCTTCGTATTGAGGACAACACTTAAGATATTTGTCTGATCAATTTAGACTCTTCTCTCATGTCTGGTGGTGTAAAGAGGTTCTTTATACTCAGGAAACATATTTTACAACAGCAAAATGTGTGTTTCTATCGGTTCAAAATACTTTAAAGTGGCGTTGGCTTGCTCCTAAAGTAGACCTGGAAGAACTCATATTCAGAAGTCATTTTGATTGGTTGTTGATTTCAAGTTCAGGAGCTGTATGTGATGTTTTTAGTTCATGACAAGAGAGATTGAGCTGGTGACTTCCGAAACAAGCTCCGGTGGTGAGCGGGTCCAGGGAGCTATCGTACCAGAACGGAGACAATACACCGACTAACTCATAGCCAGGTTTCATTGACTGAATACTAAAATACATCTGCTGTTGAATACACAGTAGGAAGATTCTGTATTGAACATGTAAAGTAAATGTATTAGAACAAACATGTTTGTTCAAGTCACAGAATAAATGGTCTGGTTGTATAATCCTATACAAAGCTGTTTCCTATAGAGACCATGGTTATAGTGATTGAATGCTCACACCACAACTCTCACAAGCCTATTCTCAGTACGAGTGTTTTGGTTATTTGGGAAGGATTCTAACCATGTCAGGGAAGGATTCCAACCATGTCAGGGAAGGATTCCAACCATGTCAGGGAAGGATTCTAACCATGTCAGGGAAGGATTCTAACCATGTCAGGGAAGGATTCCAACTATGTCAGGGAAGGATTCTAACCATGTCAGGGAAGGATTCCAACCATGTCAGGGAAGGATTCTAACCATGTCAGGGAAGGATTCCAACCACGTCAGGGAAGGATTCCAACCATGTCAGGGAAGGATTCTAACCATGTCAGGGAAGGATTCCAACCATGTCAGGGAAGGATTCAAACCATGTCAGGGAAGGATTCTAACCATGTGAGGGAAGGATTCCAACCATGTCAGGGAAGGATTCCAACCATGTCAGGGAAGGATTCCAACCATGTCAGGGAAGGATTCTAACCATGTCACTAATGGTAGGCTGATCTGTAACAAAATAAGTAAGTGCTGACCTTGCTAGACAACATTAAAGTTAATGGCATTTCTGTAGACTTAGGACTTTTGCTGAACAACTCCTGGGTCACAGAGTGATATAACATTAGCTACACATGACCTTGGGAACGCTGACCTACACACAACACGCAGTCCGACAATGGCTCTATACAGGTGTGCACAGGTGTGGTGCCAGCAACAATTAAAGCTGAAATGTAAGTTTCGTTGCATTAATAACTTCAGATAAAAGTTGACAAGGCAAACGCCTCAGAAGAAAACAACTACTCACAAACCAGAATGTGGGATTAAAACCAACTGTTCTTAAACAGGCAATATACAAGTCTTCACAAACCAGAATGTTGGATGAAAACGAACCGTTCTTAAACAAGCAATATACAACTCCTCACAAACCAGAATGTTGGATGAAAACGAACCATTCTTAAACAAGTAATATAACATGTTCACCATATCTACATGATATGTCAAATGTCAAAGTTCACAAATGATAATAAATCTTAAAACAAAAAGAAAGCACCATGATTTGATATCAGTATAGAATCAACATAATCAAACAATGAAGAACAAATATATCAACATACATTAAATAATTCAAAGCAATACTTCATTGTTCATAATTACAGCCATGCCTCGATGTGAGACGCTTCAACGTCCCGCCTGCTGAATACAAGGATGATATATGTGAACCATGCATCGACCACGATGCCCTGGAGTGAAATGATTCCTGTAAACAACAACATACACAATCCTCGTCCTCCATGTGACACGAGTCACAGCCTCCCATGTGACACGAGCCTCGTCCTCCCATGTGACATGAGCCTCGTCCTATGTGTGACACGAGCCTCGTCCTCCCATGTGACTTCCATGAACATAACAAGTTTTTACTGCCTATGCCAGAACTACAAGCGTGGCCTTCTGAGCAGGTGGCAGATTACATACAGCATTCATTGTATACAAACCTGGAACACTATTTCCAGTTCACCCCCAAGCAATCTGGCACTACGACTGTCATGACTCCCATATCTAATAGAAACATTTCCAACTGTTGTTGCACTAAGATCACCTCATGGAAAGAGTCTGAATGCATGGAGAACTCACTTTCATTATCCAGTATGTATATTTTCCAACCTGTTCTGATCGACAACCACCCGGGATCTATATGCTACGATAGCTTCTGGCTCTATTTGAATGACATGGTGGTCAACAGCAGTCCCATCCAAATGCCCGTGGGTGAGATGACATGTCCCTACCAAGCTGTGGCGGTAGGGCTGGCCATCAATACAGATCATACAGATTGATAATCGTTAACGAAATACTGATCAATTATTGATAAATATCGGAGAAGTAACTTTAAGGAAAAATGAAAATAAAGTCGACACAAAGTCATGCCACTGGTGAGTAGTGACAAATTTATGTGTGTGTTACTTTAGGGACAATTAAGTTAATACAATAACAGTTGCTTTCCGTCTCTGGCAGTTGACATAATTTACAATAACAAGTCTGTTTCGGTAAATTTAAACTTAATTTCATCACAATAGTTTATGTAAGATGTTATTGATGACACAATTTTCATATCAATAATTTCTTCCAATTGACGATGATTCCGATTATCAATCTTTTTAGCCAGCCCTTGTAAAACATTTGGTACTACGAATGTTATTGTGCGTCCTTCAGGACCAAAAATAATATTTCTCTGTGTTCATTCTATACATGTATTTGGGTGTACTGGGCATACATTTCTGCAAATTCCAATGATTTTGTTGATAAGGGTTATGTGTATTCTCCCCAGGGAGCTGAGAACTGGGCGGTTAAAGAAGTGAAACACCAGCACACCTGTTCAAAGTAAAATACTCCAATAACAACACTGCCCTGTTCAAGCCTAACACTGCCTCACAGCCAGCTTCAACAAACTGATCTTAGGACTAAGACAATCCTACTGTCCATTCTTCAACATAGACTTATGCAAAGATCACTTTGTGGAATGAGGGATCAGGACTTGATGCTGTGCCCACTGGCATAACATATATAGTTTGCAGTCACAACGGGGCTTATCAACACCCAATGGGTACATCCAGTTATTTACGTCTGAAGTCATGTCGAGGATACAGGTACCAGACGAGCATGACAAGACTAGAGGGGGTGTCAAAGATGACAGTCTCTGACATCATTCGAGGGCACATCATCAATGTAAAACAAGATTGCCTGGAAGTACTAGAAAGATGGAAAGAGGGAGAATTGAAGTAATGGTATTAAACAGAAGAAGCTTGGATATCTCTGTTGTGCAAATACCTCCATATCTGTGTAATGTTGACAGGCATCAACAACTGTGTTTGTTCAAACATCATCAAACAAGTTGAAACAGTACAGAAACATAGAAAATCCATTCATATGGATCAAGCATATTCACAGTTCTGAGATAACATATACAGTTCCTTCAGGTTAGAAAATCTGTCAATAACGCAAGACCAGTAGAAAACACACTGGACCATCACCAACTATTGTCTACTGCCCCAATAACACATAAAGGGCAGCAGCGTCAGGGCCATGCCTTCAGGGCAAAACCTGCAGAGCATCATCAGGGCAACACCCTCAGAGTCACCTCAATGAGGGCAACACCTTCAGAGTCACCCCAATGAGAGCAACACCTTCAGAGTCATCCCAATGAGAGCAACACCTTCAGAGTCACCTCAATGAGGGCGACACCTTCAGAGTCACCCCAATGAGGGCGACACCTTCAGAGTCACCCCAATGAGGGCGACACCTTCAGAGTCACCTCAATGAGAGCAACACCTTCAGAGCCACCCCAATGAGAGCAACACCTTCAGAGTCACCCCAATGAGGGCGACACCTTCAGAGTCACCCCAATGAGGGCGACACCTTCAGAGTCACCCCAATGAGGACAACACCTTCAGAGTCACCCCAATGAGGGCGACACCTTCAGAGTCACCCAAATGAGAGCAACACCTTCAGAGTCACCCCAATGAGGGCGACACCTTCAGAGTCACCCCAATGAGAGCAACACCTTCAGAGTCACCCCAATGAGGGCGACACCTTCAGAGCCACCCCAATGAGGGCAACACCTTCAGAGCAACCCCAATGAGGGCAACACCTTCAGAGCAACCCCAATGAGGGCAACACCTTCAGAGCAACCCCAATGAGGGCAACACCTTCAGAGCAACCCCAATGAGGGCAACACCTTCAGAGCAACCCCAATGAGGGCAACACCTTCAGAGCAACCCCAATGAGGGCAACACCTTCAGAGCAACCCCAATGAGGCCGACACCTTCAGAGCCACTCCAATGAGGTCACCCCAATGAGGGCAACACCTTCAGAGCCACCCAATTAGGGCAACACCTTCAGAGCCACCCCAATGAGGGTGACACCTTCAGAGCCACCCAATTAGGGCAACACCTTCAGAGCCACCCCAATGAGGGCAACACCTTCAGAGCAACTCCAATGAGGGCAACACCTTCAGAGCCACCCAATTAGGGCAACACCTTCAGAGCCACCCCAATGAGGGTGACACCTTCAGAGCCACCCCAATGAGGGCAACACCTTCCTAGCCACCCAATTAGGGCAACACCTTCAGAGCCAACCCAATGAGGGTGACACCTTCAGAGCAACCCCAATGAGGGTGACACCTTCAGAGCCACCCCAATGAGGGTGACACCTTCAAAGCAATCCCAATGAGGGCAACACCTTCAGAGCAGCCCCAATGAGGGCGACACCTTCCGAGCCACCCCAATGACAGCAACACCTTCCGAGCAACCCAATTAGGGCAACACCTTCAGAGCCACCCCAATGACAGCAACACCTTCCGAGCCACCCCAATGAGGGCAACACCTTCAGAGCCACCCCAATGAGGGTGACACCTTCAGAGCAACCCCAATAAGGGCAACACCTTCAGAGCAGCCCCAATGAGGGCGACACCTTCAGAGCAACCCCAATAAGGGCAACACCTTCAGAGCCACCCCAATGAGAGTGACACCTTCAGAGCCACCCAATTAGGGCGACACCTTCAGAGCGTCCCCAATGAGAGCAACACCATCTGGGTGACACTTTCAAAGCCACACCTTCAGGGCAACAGAAAGTGGAAGAAGTCTGTCACCACGGCCTGTGTACAGATCAGAAGCCATCAGACTTTCTTCATTCTTAGATAAAGTATAGGAGTCAAAGCAAACAATCTTAGCACCAAGTGTTGTACGTCTAAGACAAAGAATAGCAATCATGCTAGTGGTAATCAATCCTAGCACCGAGTATTGTAACTTTGTGAGAGAACACAACCATGATCCAATAGAACTCTGAGCACTGCAGTGTTGGTGATGGAGCCTGTAGCATACATCAAGTGTGCACAATCATTTTCAGCTCCCAGGGGAGTATACAACCCACTTGCACATTCACATCACTGCTTGAGTGAATTCCCAACACAGACCCTGCTTCATTTTTGTAGAATGATGTCAATCAGTCTTCCGATGCTGACGCAGATGCAGACACAGACAGATGCAACAACACCACTGCATCCTCGTCCAGGGTGTTTATCACAATCGAACGCAAATATAAGATACTGGATAGTCAAGGCTGATTAATGAGATTTGCACGTTCAGATTATTTTCTATTTTCAAAGAGCACCATCAAGATCCAAAAGATATTATAGAACCACAGTGTCACACCTTTACCCTGGAAGCGGCCATTGATATTTCATGTACAAGGTGATTTATCTGTGAAATATCCATTTGATAAATGAGAAAGTTGACAGATAATAGCCTGTAGATGACTAGGATTTGCTAAGACAGGTCACATAATAAACATTGTAGCCCTCCCGCAACCCAGCGCCTGAGCAGAGCTGATATGTTCCATGAATATCAATATGTATACATTGCAGCAACAGCGTGTGTACAGCACACGCACTCACGCACGCACGCACACACACACACACACACACACACACATGCACGCGCGCACACATACTCACACACACACAAACATAAACACACATATATACACCATCACACCAATTCATTGCAGTTGTTTTAAGAATTCCCCAGCCTGATTCAGGTCACATAGCAAAGCCTGTCGTTTGTTCCCACTTGTCAGATGTGCTATACTTGTTTTGTTTTCTTAAGAAATTAAAAACATTCCCCAAAACAGTCACTGTTGTTCCTCAACTAAAAGTATCAATCACCAGTATGACACGACAGTAAGACAGTATTAGACTGAAATGATTCCCCGATTCCCCAGGGCCAGAATACTCTCAGCTTCACCCTACATAATACACCTTATTCAGAGTCGACGTACTTCACAACTTCAGTTACTGATGTTCACAAGATGCTCTTCAGACATCACCAGGTGGAGGCCATTGTTCTGGTCAAGAACGACACTGGTGTGTTCTAGCTAAGTTGGTGATAGTGAAAGCTTTTGTTTATTCCTTTGTTATTACAAACTGTGAATACATTCACACTCTATCTTATCCACATGAGGCCTGAAAGCACTCAATCAGATGCTCTGTCTAGTTATCTAGTTTCACGACAATAAATCAAATGTTGTTTCATTAGAACTTTGTGAAGACAGTCATATGTTGATGGAGTCTCGGCAAAGCTGCCACATTGCAAAGTAATCATCTTTGTTGTGGTTCAACTTCCTTTTTTTCAACAACCTTGACCTTGACTCGGCTGGAAGCCGTATTCATGAGATGCTAAGATTGACCACTTGACTAGAATGTCTACTGACACATGATGAGAACATGGTGGACTGAGTGAGTGAGTGAGTTGGGATATCAACTGTTACATCACCGCATGTTCCTTTAATGTTGGAGGAAAGCCCGAAGTGACATAGGTCGGAGAAGTCTGAAACCCACAAGCATGGGTGCCTGCAAACTCAATCACTACCAGATTCTGCAGAACAGTGCCATGACACCTGGGTCACAACTGCCCAAAGTGACTCGAGTGAGCTTACATAGTTAGCAATAAATGTCAGCTCAACATACCAGTGTACTTACAAAGACGTGAAACAGTAAGTACAAAGGTCAACTCTCCAGCATGCTGACTGTCCACACGCAGACAACAGGGTAAATACATCAACGAAGCATCTCCAAAATAACACGATGATATGTCTGAATGTAGTTCACAATATTTTAGTACAAAACTACAGATTCATTTAATCTTTGGTGTCATGTGACTTTCAACAAATGAGACAAAAATATACCACCAGTATGTAAACCCAGTGTATATGATTCTGAATGTCATAAGTATGGCGGACCCTGTATGAATCGTAAATCTCATCGTAACGTACGTGTAGTCCAGAAGTAACATATGATTAGATAGTCTAAACCCATCTTCACAATCCACCACGCATTAGAGTACACCAAAAAACGATCATCCCATCACTTCATCGAACTGGCTTCAAATGATGAAGGAAACAATAAAATGTTCCCTGGTAACCATGGTAACACATATACTAAATACCATCACTACTTAGGTTTGGCTTAACATGAACAATTGTACCACGTAGTATCAAAGATTTTTTTTCAAAATCTTATTTTCCTGCTACATGGTAAATAAATAATATATAGATATAGATATATACTTCAATAAGTGAACACAGAGTAAGTAAGTGAGGATTAATAAATATATAACTCTAATATGCTACATCACAGCTCAACCTTACCTAGGTATTCTTCACATTATCAGTCATTCCACAAGATCAACAACTACGTTCGATTGGACTCCACAAAGCAACATCAGTGCGACAACTGTCTCAAGTGTGTGAAAGCGTTCGTTCGTCACGCCGATGACCATTTACAATTTTCCACATGGGCGCAACATGTGAAGCTCATTTCTGGTGTTCTCCATTGTGATATTGCTGGAATATTGCTAAAAATGGCGTAAAACCGTATTCCCTCACTTGTAAGCCTATGGTTTCTAAAACTGTCGTTGCACTCACATTACTTGGACAAAGGGCCAAGTTGGTTACTATGAATTGTACATCAGCGGGAGTGAGATTGCAGTATCTGGTCAGCTGTGTCACAAACCAGTCACGTAAAACATGGACGACAATAAATATACACACGTATATACACGGACTGTCATGCCACACACAACACTAACTGTGCACTCCGACATGTCATGTACAATCAGTAAATATGTGGGATGAACCTATTATGTTGTGTAAACATAAATTCTGTTAATAAAAACTTCATAAAACCATGTCATGAGAACACAGGCGTATCGGGACAATTATCATGGACACAAAAGTGGATTCCTTTGAACATGTTAAATTACAGAATTGATCTCTACTCTACTGATACCGAGCATGCAGCACCCTTGCAAATACCAATAGTGGTAACAAAGGTGAAACTTCTGTAGAAACCTAGAAATGATATTGCATTGAAGATGCACTTCCACAACATAATGCTACCAGTGTCTACGAGGAGTTGGCCTGAGAAATGTGAAGGCTTCTCACAGGCTGTAAACTAGGGCTGGATCTCAGGCACAGTGTTCCATCAGCTCATCGGGGCTTCTCCAGGCCGCTAGGTGATTGGGCAACCATGTACTTATAACTTACTTCAATGTTGACTTGTGTCAACAGTCTCACTTGCCGGATGATAATATTATCATCCAAATAGAGAAATGTTTTGAGACATAACCATTGCCAAAATCAAGACAGATATAGCCCACATGGACGCAGTGATCCTTATCTTAGTATTACACACAACAGAAATCATTAAAACGAATATTTCTTGCTGTAACAGCATGTACATGAGGATGCCGCTGCCCAACACCAAAGGTGAGAGGCCTTAATGAGCTGTGGTCCCCATCAGCTGGGCTATAGTCGAGTCTGTGCTCGGGCCTGCGAGTGCATAGACTGTTGCCTTTGTTTGTAACACCCAGAACAGAGGTGATCTAACTCAGGACTCCCAAAGAAATCACAACCATCATTTCTACATCTGTTACTTGAGTACTGTCGCTGGCCGCCCTGTGCAGGTCCTGCGGTCAACCGAGGATTAGACTGGGACAGCTCTGCTGGAATTTGGACACCTGATGTTGGCCGCGAAACCGTTTGGCTAAGACCAGATGGAGGCCTTAAAGCTGATTGGTTGTAACCAACTGGTGGTCTTGAAGCCGGTTGGCTGGAAGTAATGTAAGTGGAACTGGATCTTCTTTGGTGCTGAAGTTCAGTAAACCTGTAGTCCACATTGTCATAGTCGGGAGATGGGGTGCGCGCATGGGGGCCATGTTGGCCCATTTTGGACACATCACCAACAGAGCGAGACTGCTGGCGGTCCATGTTAGCTACTACAGACAGTCTGGAATCCTGCAGAGCAGGTCTGTCAGGACAATAATCCTCTACCCCTGTGTAGAACTTGGACTTGCCCAACTTGACAATGGTAGCTTCCTCCACCCCCTTGTTCCTGCCTGGGAAAGTATTATACACAAACTGCCCTCGCTGCTTCTCCTTATCGATGGCTTCCTGCTTCTGTTGGGAGTAACACTTGGAACACAGATACGCAGTCTCGGCTGTGCCAAACATCTGACAGCCTGGGGTCACACAAGTCACAGTGGAGGCGATGGAATGGGTGCTGACTCGGTTACGAATCTCTTCATTCTTTTTCCGCCACAAGTCTCGGTCCTTCTCAAAGCGTTGTTTGGACGTGTGGAGATAGTTCTTGACAAGCTCCTGCTGCATCTTTGTCCTTGTGACAGAGAGCCTGGCACACCACACTCTATCACGACCAATATCAGTAGCAATGGTAGCAATAACCTTCGTGCTCTGAGTGATGACACTCCCCACAGACTGGCGCCGACTGCTTTTGTCAGAGTCACCAATATTCTTCATGGCTTTACCAATATTCCCAAAGTTTTTCTTGATCTTCTTGCCCATGCTTTTACCGATGCTCCCGAACTGTTTGGCCACACTGTGCATCTGCTGTGACACCTTGGCATCCTTCTTCTTCTCCTTGTTCCCGACACATCCCACGCTATCGTCAGACTCATAGGATCCGCAGGACTGCCTGTCGCTGTCGTAGTCGGTGTCGAGGGTCGGGATCTGCAGCTTCTCAACATTCATAAACTGCTGCAGCAGGTTCAGTTTGTCCTCTGACGTCAGCTCCGCCACCTTCTTGTTGCTGTTGACTTTGTTCCAGTCGTAGCGAGGACCAGGATCGATGTGGAAATGAAGAGGAAGCAGCTGAAAGTTCGGGTCCACCAGGGGGATCGCAACTGTAACAGGAACACCATTTTCTACGAAAAAGTGAAAGAGTGAAAACATGATTATGATTGAGTGAATGAGCACGGCATAACACTGATGGTACAAATAGAGCATGGGCTTCATACACTGTTCTTATGTGGGGAATCAACCAAGGTCTTCAGCATGCACACACTTCAACCACTAGGCTACCCCCTTTCAAACATGACAAGCTGGGGACCTATATTCTTAACTGGGATCCCTAAGGGTTGTCACCTCTCCTGACAAGCATAGGTTGCTTGGGACCTATATTCTACCTGGGATCCCTAAGGGTTGTCACCTCGTCTGACAAGCACAGGTTGCTGGGGACCTATATTCTTAACTGGGATCCCTAAGGGTTGTCGCCTTTCCTGACAAGCACAGGTTGCTGGGGACCCATATTCTACCGGGGATCCCTAAGGGTTGTCGCCTCTCATGACAAGCACAGGTTGCTGGGGACCCATATTCTACCCGGGATCCCTAAGGCTTGTCACCTCTCATGACAAGCACAGGTTGCTGGGGACTTATATTCTACCCGGGATCCCTAAGGCTTGTCACCTCTCATGACAAGCACAGGTTGCTTGGGACCCATATTCTACCCGGGATCCCTAAGGCTTGTCACCTCTCATGACAAGCACAGGTTGCTGGGGACCTATATTCTACCCGGGATCCCTAAGGCTTGTCACCTCTCATGACAAGCACAGGTTGCTGGGGACCCATATTCTACCCGGGATCCCTAAGGCTTGTCACCTCTCATGACAAGCACAGGTTGCTGGGGACCCATATTCTTAACTGGGATCCCTAAGGGTCGTCACCTCTCATGACAAGCATAGGTAGGTGGAGATCTATATTCTTAACTGGGATCCCTAAGGGTTGTCATCCCTCTTCTGACAAGCACAGGTTGCTGGGGACCTATATTCTTAACTCGGATCCCTAAAGGTTGTCACCTCGTCTGACAAGCACAGGTTGCTGGGGACCTATATTCTTAACTGGGATCCCTAAGGGTTGTCACCTCGTCTGACAAGCACAGGTTGCTGGGGACCTATATTCTTAACTGGGATCCCTAAGGGTCGTCACCTCTCATGACAAGCATAGGGTGCTGGAGATCTATATTCCTAACTGGGACTCCTAAGGGTTGTCGTCTCTCATGACAAGCACAGGTTGCTGGAGATCTATATTCTTAACTGGGATCCCTAAGGGTTGTCGCCTCTCATGACAAGCATAGGTAGGTTGAGATCTATATTCTTAACTGCGATCCCTAAGGGTTGTCGCCTCTCATGACAAGCACAGGTTGCTGGAGATCTATATTCTTAACTGGAATCCCTAAGGGTTGTCACCTCTCATGACAAGCATAGGTAGGTGGAGATCTATATTCTTAACTGGGATCCCTAAGGGTTGTCGCCTCTCATGACAAGCACAGGTTGCTGGGGACCTATATTCTACACCGGATCCCTAAGGGTTGTCGCCTCTCATGACAAGCACAGGTTGCTGGAGATCTATATTCTTAACTGGAATCCCTAAGGGTTGTCGCCTCTCATGACAAGCATAGGTAGGTGGAGATCTATATTCTTAACTGGGATCCCTAAGGGTTGTCGCCTCTCATGACAAGCACAGGTTGCTGGGGACCTATATTCTACACCGGATCCCAAAGGGTTGTCGCCTCTCATGACAAGCACAGGTTGCTGGAGATCTATATTCTTAACTGCGATCCCTAAGGGTTGTCGCCTCTCATGACAAGCACAGGTTGCTGGAGATCTATACTCTTAACTGCGATCCCTAAGGGTTGTCGCCTCTCATGACAAGCACAGGTTGCTGGGGACCTATATTCTACCTGGGATCCGTAAGGGTCGTCGCCTCTCCTGACAAGCACAGGTTGCTTGGGGCCTATATTCTTAACTGGGATCCCTAAGGGTTGTCGCCTTTCCTGACAAGCACAGGTTGCTGGGGACCTATATTCTTAACTGGGATCCCTAAGGGTCGTCGCCTTTCCTGACAAGCACAGGTTGCTGGGGACCTATATTCTTAACTGGGATCCCTAAGGGTTGTCATCCCTCTCCTGACAAGCACAGGTTGCTGGGGACCTATATTCTTAACTGGGATCCCTAAGGGTTGTCGCCTTTCCTGACAAGCACAGGTTGCTGGGGACCTATATTCTTAACTGGGATCCCTAAGGGTTGTCATCCCTCTTCTGACAAGCACAGGTTGCTGGGGACCTATATTCTTAACTGGGATCCCTAAGGGTTGTCACCTCGTCTGACAAGCACAGGTTGCTGGGGACCTATATTCTTAACTGGGATCCCTAAAGGTTGTCACCTCGTCTGACAAGCACAGGTTGCTGGGGACCTATATTCTTAACTGGGATCCCTAAGGGTTGTCGCCTTTCCTGACAAGCACAGGTTGCTGGGGACCCATATTCTTAACTGGGATCCCTAAGGGTTGTCATCCCTCTTCTGACAAGCACAGGTTGCTGGGGACCTATATTCTTAACTGGGATCCCTAAGGGTTGTCACCTCGTCTGACAAGCACAGGTTGCTGGGGACCTATATTCTTAACTGGGATCCCTAAGGGTTGTCGCCTTTCCTGACAAGCACAGGTTGCTGGGGACTTATATTCTTAACTGGGATCCCTAAGGGTTGTCGCCTCTCATGACAAGCACAGGTTGCTGGGGACCTATATTCTACCCGGGATCCCTAAGGGTTGTCACCTCTCATGACAAGCATAGGGTGCTGGAGATCTATATTCTTAACTGGGACTCCTAAGGGTTGTCGTCTCTCATGACAAGCACAGGTTGCTGGAGATCTATATTCTTAACTGGGATCCCTAAGGGTTGTCGCCTCTCATGACAAGCACAGGTTGCTGGGGACCTATATTCTACCCGGGATCCCTAAGGGTCGTCACCTCTCATGACAAGCATAGGGTGCTGGAGATCTATATTCTTAACTGGGACTCTTAAGGGTTGTCGTCTCTCATGACAAGCACAGGTTGCTGGAGATCTATATTCTTAACTGGGATCCCTAAGGGTCGTCGCCTCTCATGACAAGCACAGGTTGCTTGGGGCCTATATTCTTAACTGGGATCCCTAAGGGTTGTCGCCTCTCATGACAAGCACAGGTTGCTGGAGATCTATATTCTTAACTGGAATCCCTAAGGGTTGTCTCCTCTCATGACAAGCATAGGTAGGTGGAGATCTATATTCTTAACTGGGATCCCTAAGGGTTGTCGCCTCTCCTGACAAGCACAGGTTGCTGGGTACCCATACTCTTAACTGGGATCCCTAAGGGTTGTCGCCTCTCATGACAAGCATAGGTAGGTGGAGATCTATATTGCACTTACTGGGGAGGAAGGGTTTGTCATCAGGCGAGACCTCCTGCTCCATGGGAACCAGTGCGGAGAAGTGTGCAGCATCATACGTCAGCAGCAGAGGGGAGCGGTAACACATCTTCGCCTCACACTCCAAGGGGAGATAAATCCCTCCGAATGGTATGGGGGCTAGGGCCTCTCCTCCTGAGTCCTTTAGGACAGTGTCAGCAACAACAATGATTGGTCTCTGCAGCACATGGGCCAACACAAACACATGGAACTCCTCCAGACTCTCGTACACCACTGGGTCACACGACGTGTTGCTGAAACACACACAGGGTTCCAAATATTATTTTAGGACATTTTGTGTCAGGGCTGGTAAGATATAATCATGGAGAGGCAATAATGACAGTAAACATGTACAATGTCAACAAAGGGCCACAACTCTGTTAACTGAATAAGCCATAGAGCCTATAACTGTTGTTCGGAACGCCTTGTTTTAGCCTTACAAGGTTGCATGAGTAGAAAACATTTGTCGGATGAGGTTCGTTCTGACTTGACCTGTAAAATGTGATGTCCTCAGCGAGCACTAAGATTAGATTTTAAAAAGATTGTCCTACGATGTAAACAACAATGTTGTATTTACCCATGAGTAACTGGACTGTCACAGCAGCTGATTCTCTTTGTTGTTTCAGGAAATGTGCGTGGCGTGGGGGATGAAAGCTTCAACAGATTGTCCCATTCCGCCTGCCACTCCTCTTCAGACAATACCAGGCCGGACTGGAACACACAGTCAAGACTTACTTCCACATCAAACTGTAAGCAACAGCAAGATAATGACCTTGACCTTAATCCCTGACTGGGATCTCTGCTAGGCTATATCCCTGACTGGGAACTCCCATGGCTTATATCCCTGACTGAGATCTCCCCTGGCCTATATCCCTGACTGGGAACTCCCGTGGCTTATATCCCTGACTGGGATCTCCCTTGGACTATATCCCTGACTGGGAGCTCCCTTGGGCTATATCCCAGGCTTAGATCTCCCCCAGGGTATATCCCTGACTGGGAGCTCCCTTGGGGTATATCGCTGACTGGGAACTCCCCCATGGTATATCACTGACTGAGATCTCCCCTGGCCTATATCCCTGACTGGGAACTCCCGTGGCTTATATCCCTGACTGGGAACTCCCTTGGACCATATCCCTGACTGGGAACTCCCCTGGCCTATATCCCTGACTGAGATCTCCCCTGGCCTATATCCCTGACTGGGAGCTCCCGTGGCTTATATCCCTGACTGGGAACTTTCCCAGGGTATATCACTGACTGAGATCTCCCCTGGCCTATATCCCTGACTGGAATCACCCCCTGGCTTATATCCCTGACTGGGAACTTTCCCAGGGTATATCCCTGACTGGGAACTCCCTCCCTGACTAGGAACTCCCCCAGGGTTTATCCCTGACTGGGAGCTCCCCCAGGGTATATCCCTGACTGGGAGCTCCCTTGGACCATATCCCTAACTGGGAGCTCCCTTGGGCTATATCCCAGGCTTGGAATTCCCCTGGGGTATATCCCTTACTGGGAACTCCCCTGGGGTATATTCATAGTAGGTCTTTAATTCATATCCTCATATCTATTGTAACTGCAATCATTTGCAAGGGTTTTTTTAATATCAATTTTGCAGTCATAAAATATGTGGTAACAACAAGAATAAGGAACTCATCTCTTTATTTGAAAGTGTCTGCTGAAGCAACTCACCTCTTTTTGAGTGTCTACTGTAGCAACTCACCTCTTTTTGAGAGTGTCTGCTGTAGCAACTCACCTCTTTATTTGAGAGTGTCTGCTGTAGCAACTCACCTCTTTATTTGAGAGTGTCTGCTGTAGCAACTCACCTCTATTTGAGAGTGTCTGCTGTAGCAACTCACCTCTTTATTTGAGAGTGTCTGCTGTAGCAACTCACCTCTATTTGAGAGTGTCTGCTGTAGCAACTCACCTCTTTATTTGAGAGTGTCTGCTGAAGCAACTCACCTCTATTTGAGAGTGTCTGCTGTAGAAACTCACCTCTTTATTTGAGAGTGTCTGCTGTAGCAACTCACCTCTATTTGAGAGTGTCTGCTGTAGCAACTCACCTCTATTTGAGAGTGTCTGCTGTAGCAACTCACCTCTATTTGAGTGTCTGCTGAAGCAACTCACCTCTTTATTTGAGAGTGTCTGCTGTAGCAACTCACCTCTTTTTGAGAGTGTCTGCTGAAGCAACTCACCTCTTTATTTGAGAGTGTCTGCTGTAGCAACTCACCTCTATTTGAGAGTGTCTTCTGTAGCAACTCACCTCTTTATTTGAGAGTGTCTGCTGTAGCAACTCACCTCTATTTGAGACTGTCTGCTGTAGCAACTCACCTCTATTTGAGAGTGTCTGCTGTAGCAACTCACCTCTATTTGAGAGTGTCTGCTGTAGCAACTCACCTCTTTATTTGAGAGTGTCTGCTGTAGCAACTCACCTCTATTTGAGACTGTCTGCTGTATCAACTCATCTCTTTATTTGAGAGTGTCTGCTGTAGCAACTCACCTCTATTTGAGAGTGTCTGCTGTAGCAACTCACCTCTTTATTTGAGAGTGTCTGCTGTAGCAACTCACCTCTATTTGAGAGTGTCTGCTGTAGCAACTCACCTCTATTTGAGACTGTCTGCTGTATCAACTCATCTCTTTATTTGAGAGTGTCTGCTGTAGCAACTCACCTCTTTATTTGAGAGTGTCTGCTGTAGCAACTCACCTCTTTATTTGAGAGTGTCTGCTGTAGCAACTCACCTCTATTTGAGAGTGTCTGCTGTAGCAACTCACCTCTATTTGAGAGTGTCTGCTGTAGAATCTCACCTCTTTATTTGAGAGTGTCTGCTGCCACCTCCAACGCCTGTACAAGTTATCCTTACAGCTCCCCCTTGTCATCTTGGCGTAGAGAGCATTGCGAAGTATCAGCTGCCTGTCATGGATGCCCCACATGGCTGTCAACACAATAGAGTCTGTCAGTCTGTCTGTCGAGGTTCGAATATTTATCAATTCATGGCAGAATTCTAAAAATAGTGTGAAATATACATGTTGCCAATGACTGTCATATGTGTTCAATGAATCATCTAGGATGCTAAGCTGCATCTGTACAGCATGGCCACCAATGTCACCATCAGAATGTCTTATGTAGTGTACAGAAATAACGCTTTTATCAAAGGAAATGGCTGCATATCTGCCAAGCACCACTATCATCTCATGCTGGCTACATGCCAGTAACAGTGTCTGGAACAGTTCAGTACATTGCCTGGTGTGTACAGTACCTAGTGACGCGGCGTGGAGGAGGCAGTTGCCATCTCCGGAGGTGGCCATGGGAAGAAGGCGCTGACAGATCCTCATCTCCGCCCACCAGTTCAGTCTCCCTGCAACCACAAACAAACCATCACAAACATATCACCGCACCATGGATCTATCAGAGATTGGGGAAAGCACAAACATACAATTACAGATTCGACCACTCACATACACCATCACAGCATGTGTCAATCATCTACACCATCACAGCATGGGTCAATCATACACACAATCACAGCATGGGTCAATCATACTCACCATCACAGCATGGGTCAATCATACACACCATCACAGCATGGGTCAATCATACTCACCATCACAGCATGGGTCAATCATACACACCATCACAGCATGGGTCAATCATACACACCATCACAGCATGGGTCAATCATCTACACCATCACAGCATGGATCAATCATACACACCATCACAGCATGGGTCAATCATACACACCATCACAGCATGGGTCAATCATATACACCATCACATCATGGGTCAATCATACACACCATCACAGCATGGGTCAATCATATACACCATCACAGCATGGGTCAATCATACACACCATCACAGTATGGGTCAATCATACACACCATCACAGCATGGGTCAATCATACACACCATCACAGCATGGGTCAATCATATACACCATCACAGCATGGGTCAATCATACACACCATCACATCACGGGTCAATCATCTACACCATCACAGCAGGGGTCAATCATACACACTACCACAACATTGGTCAATCATCTACAACATCACAGCATGGGTCAATCATCTACACCATCACAGCATGGGTCAATCATACACACTACCACAACATTGGTCAATCATCTACAACATCACAGCATGGGTAAATCATACACACCATCACAGCATGGGTCAATCATACACACTACCACAACATTGGTCAATCATCTACACCATCACAGCATGGATAAATTATCTACACCACCACAGCATGGGTCAATCATAAACACTACCACAACATTGGTCAATCATCTACACCATCACAGCATGGGTCAATCATACACCGCATCACAGCATGGATCAATCATACACACCATCACAGCATGGGTCAATCATACACACCATCACATCATGGGTCAATCATACACACCATCACAGCATGGATCAATCATATACACTGCATTGGTCAATAACAGTTTGCATCACAACATCCTCCCCCAAATGGCACAAACCTGCTTGCTCCAGAGACACGAGAGTGGAAGTCTCGATCAGGTCCTTCTCTAGGTAGGCCCTGAAGTCCTCGGAGTAAACTGTCAGGTCCGGGAGCAGGAAGGTCAGCAGGTACATGTGATCGTGGCTGTCCTCCTCAATGTCATGAAGCACACTCGATCTGGCCTCCGACACCAAGTTCACATTCTCCATTATATTGGAAATTCCTCGCTTTAATTTAGGGGCTGTGGAAAAAAAAACATATTTCAAAAGGGATGTCCAAATGTCAATACACACAATCCATTAAATCCTAATTCACTGTAACAATGACCAGTAATTAATACCACAGTAATTGTGAAGAGCAATGATAATAGAATGAGGTTTACGCTAGTTATAACTGCTACCATGGTTACATTTGTCACAAAAGTGTTCAATTTCAACGTTGATCTTCAACTCAGGGTTGCTGTAGGCTGTCACTGACAGCCTACTGATACACTGACAGATACACTGACACAGACACCGACTGATACACTGACACATACACCGACTGATACACTGACACAACACCGGTTGCTGACACATACACCGACAGATACACTGACACAGTACCGATAGATACACCGACACATTACTGATAGATACACCGACACATACACCGACACATTACCGATAGATACACTGACACATTACCGATAAATACACTGACACATTACTGATAGATACACTGACACATACACCGACAGATACACTGACACATTACCGATAGATACACTGACACATACACCGACACATTACCGATAGATACACTGACACATACACCGACACATTACTGATAGATACACCGACACATACACCGACACATTACTGATAGATACACTGACACATACACCGACACATTACCGATAGATACACCGACACATACACCGATAGATACACTGACACATACACCGACACATTACTGATAGATACACTGACACATACACCGACACATTACTGATAGATACACCGACACATTACCGATAGATACACTGACACATTCCCGATAGATACACCGACACATACACCGACAGATACACTACCGATAGATACACTGACACATACACCGACACATTACTGATAGATACACTGACAAATACACCGACACATTACTGATAGATACACCGACACATACACCGACACATTACCGATAGATACACTGACACATTCCCGATAGATACACCGACACATACACCGACAGATACACTGACACATACACCGACAGATACACTGACACATACACCGACAGATACACTGACACATACACCGACAGATACACTGACACATACACCGATAGATACACTGACACATACACCGACACATTACTGATAGATACACTGACACATACACCGACACATTACTGATAGATACACCGACACATTACCGATAGATACACTGACACATTCCCGATAGATACACCGACACATACACCGACAGATACACTACCGATAGATACACTGACACATACACCGACACATTACTGATAGATACACTGACAAATACACCGACACATTACTGATAGATACACCGACACATACACCGACACATTACCGATAGATACACTGACACATTCCCGATAGATACACCGACACATACACTGACACATACACCGACAGATACACTGACACATACACCGACAGATACACTGACACATACACCGACAGATACACTGACACATACACCGACACATTACCGATAGATACACTGACACATTCCCGATAGATACACCGACACATACACCGACGGATACACTGACACATACACCGACAGATACACTGACACATTACCGATAGATACACCGACACATTACCCATAGATACACCGACACATACACCGACAGATACACTGACACATTACCGATAGATACACCGACACATACACCGACGGATACACTGACACATACACCGACACATACACCGACAGATACACTGACACATTACCGATAGATACACCGACACATTACCCATAGATACACCGACACATACACCGACAGATACACTGACACATACACCGACAGATACACTGACACATTACCGATAGATACACCGACACATACACCGACAGATACACTGACACATTCCCGATAGATACACCGACACATACACCGACGGATACACTGACACATACACCGACAGATACACTGACACATTACCGATAGATACACCGACACATTACCCATAGATACACCGACACATACACCGACAGATACACTGACACATTACCCATAGATACACCGACACATACACCGACAGATACACTGACACATACACAGACAGATACACCGACACATTACCGATAGATACACTGACACATACACCGACACATACACCGACAGATACACTGACACATTACCGATAGATACACTGACACATTACCGATAGATACACTGACACATTACCGATAGATACACCGACACATACACCGACAGATACACCGACACATACACCAACATATACACTGACACATTACCGATAGATACACTGACACATTACCGATAGATACACTGACACATTACCGATAGATACACCGACACATACACCGACAGATACACCGACACATACACCAACATATACACTGACACATTACCGATAGATACACCGACAGATACACTGACACATTACCGATAGATACACTGACACATACACCGACAGATACACTGACACATACACCGACAGACACACCGACTGATACACTGACAGATACACCGACACATACACCGACTGATACACTGACACATACACCTACAGACACACCGACAGATACACCGACAGATACACTGACACATACACCGACACACACCGACTGATACACTGACAAATCATAATACCTTGCAGACCATTGTGACATCATCAGTTACCCTGACCAGTGATAGAAACTAACAGTTTTAGTCCACTAGTCCTGATAATGATAACAAATAGCAAAAGCCTTAAAAAGGGCAAATTTCTGCTAGTCCTTATGATACCTTAACTATTGGGCAGTTGGCAAGGACTGAAAGACTAGTGCCAATTTCTAACCCTCCTGACGTCACAATCAAATGACATCACTACTCTATGCCACTGAAGCTGATGAGCTGTACTTTTTCCACTCAAGACACAGGTTATTATTGTCTACAAACTGAACAAGTTGATGAATGATTTTGGATGATAAACAGAATCACACCCTTAAGCATGTTAAGACCAAACTTGTGTGGATATATCAGACATCCAAAGACATCCAAGAGGTTAAGATTCTCTGCATCTGGTTGTAACACACTACCAACTTACTGTGATCTCCAGCTGGTTTGCTGCCTGAGGTGACATTGCTGGTGTCCTTGGGTTTGTCTGTGGGTCCGGGCGGCGGGGGAGGCGGCATGGCTTTCTGAGCCTTCTGCTCCTCCAGTGAGAGGGGCATGGACTCCTGGACATGGGTTTGGCGCTGGAACTGCGGGGGCCGGAAGCCTTGCTGTGGTGAAGGGTTGGGCAGGACCCTATGGTGCTGCTGTGGAGATGGCTGCTGCTGTTGCTGCTGTTGATACTGTTGGTGCTGAAAGGGTCGGGGTTCATTGGACCGGGTCTGAGATTGTGGAATCGAGGGCGCGGGTAGCTTGACAGCAGGCCCTCTCTCCACATGGATAGGTACTATTCTCTCTGTGGGTCGATAAGCATGATCTACTTGTGACCTTGGCCTTGTGTTTTGTTGAAGATCATTTGAGACAATGGGGAAGCCTTGATGGGCCATGGTGTGACTCTGAATGGGCATAGTGTCGTAGCCCGGTCGGCTAGATGAAACAGTGTATCCCCCAGCCCTCCCCACCCCCGTGTTTGTGATACTGGGGGGGAACGCTCCCCCTCCCCGCTGACCAGGCAATGACCTGGGGGGGGTTCCCATGTGATGAACAGGGATGGGAGTGCCTCGGTTATTTGGATGGTTTTGCATATTTCTGGCCTTCTGTACTGAATCAATACACAGTTTTTCTATCTTCTTGTAGGTGTCCTGAAGCTGCCAGTTGTGCTCTGAAACACATGGGTGGTTCATGTAGGTGTTGGGTTAGAAATGGTTTCCAGCATGACAGCATGGAGCACTGCTTATAAAATCAATCCCCGGATAGACTTCAGACACACCAGGTAGGTACTCACCTTGCAGAAGCCCGAGGGCGAAGTCCCTGTCTGCTCCTGTGTTTCGAACTAGCTCTTCCAGAATCCGAGTCCTGGTCTGGCGGTTGAGAGTGTCCGTCATGGCCGCTGGAGTGAGTCATGGTCAACTCTCACACACTGGCCTCGCCACCAGACATCAGCTCTCTGGACATACAAACACATGGACATCAGCTCTCTGGACATACAAACACATGGACATCAGCTCTCTGAACATACAAACACATGGACATCAGCTCTCTGGACATACAAACACATGGACATCAGCTCCCTGGACATACAAACACATGGACATCAGTTCCCTGGACATACAAACACATGGACATCAGCTCTCTGGACATACAAACACATGGACATCAGCTCTCTGGACATACAAACACATGGACATCTGCTCTCTGGACATACAAACACATGGACATCAGCTCTCTGGACATACAAACACATGGACATCAGCTCTCTGGACATACAAACACATGGACATCAGCTCTCTGGACATACAAACACATGGACATCAGCTCCCTGGACATACAAACACATGGACATCAGTTCTCTGGACGTACAAACACATGGACATCAGTTCTCTGGACATACAAACACATGGACATCAGTTCCCTGGCCATACGTTTCATTTCATTTGTCTAAAGCATTTGCCATAAAGGCACATGTGAAACTATTCCTGAAAAGAGATTCAATAACTCCATGATACAACTACAAGAAGGGTTAAGTTATTTTCATACATTATGTTACAATTTCATCCATGTTCAAACAAAGCAGCTTTAGTTGAGAAAAAGTACTGAAAGCAAATAGCAATTGATAAGACATAAGAGAGAGCCAATCAACACAACCAATTAATCCAATGACATGTCAACACTCAGTGATGTCATGAATACTCAGGATCACAAGGCACCCCAATGACAGACATCGATGAGGCTGATAATGTGCCAAGTCATATATCATGTTATATGACAGTGCGTTTCACTGAAAATGTTATGTGCAATTGTGATGAAACAAGGGCTGGCTATTGATATAGATTATAGAGATTGATAATCACTAAATACCAATCAATTATCAATAAATATCGGAGAAGTAACATTAAGCAAATGTGCAAGAAAGTCCCTAAAGAAATCAACATATTTCACACTTACTGGAGGGCAGTGACACATTTAATTGTGCATGGATTACTTTGTGGACATTTGAGATTTAACAAAAACAGTTGCTTTCCGTCTTCGACAACTGACATTACTGGCATTAGCAAGTCTGTTTCAGAAAATCTATGTTTTATTTCGTCAATAGTTTATCTAAGTTATTATTGATGACAACAATTTCATATCGATAATCGTTCCCATCGAAGATAATTCCGATCATGGATCTTTTTAGCCAGCCCTAGTTGAACCCCTCCACTCCCTCACACTGGGGGTGAACCCCTCCACTCCCTCACACTGGGGGTGAACCCATCCACTCCCTCCCACTGAGGGTGAACCCATCCGCTCCCTCACACTGGGGGTGAACCCATCCACTCCCTCACACTGGGGGTAGCCCATCCACTCCCTCCCACTGAGGGTGAACCCATCCGCTCCCTCAAACTGGGGGTGAACCCATCCACTCCCTCACACTGGGGGTGAACCCCTCCACTCCCTCACACTGGGGGTGAACCCATCCACTCCCTCCCACTGAGGGTGAACCCATCCGCTCCCTCACACTGGGGGTGAACCCATCCACTCCCTCACACTGGGGGTAGCCCATCCACTCCCTCCCACTGAGGGTGAACCCATCCACTCCCTCACACTGGGGGCGAACCCATCCACTCCCTCACACTGGGGGTTAACATGTTTACACGCAGAAATTCAGTTTTGATTTTCCACTCAGTTTTTTACCTCGAGTATGTAACACCGAAAAGAGCCTGTCAACAAATCCCCAAGTATGAAATTCTGAAAGTTAGTTAACTGGGTTATACCATTACTGGTTATAAAAAAGAATTCTATGTTTACCTGGTTTCATTCTGTTTTATCAATTTTATAAATGTGAAAATGTGTGTGAACTGATTGGCAGGTTACACCAACTGACCGTTCCTTTCAGCAACCACGATCAGATTACCATAATTGATGGCAACTACAGTTTTACCTGTGTCTTTACCATTGTCAACAACAGTTTTACATGTGCATTTACCATTGTCAACTAGTTTTACCTGTGTCTTTACTATTGTCAACTACAGTTTTAATTGTATTTTTACCATTGTCAACTACTGATTTACGTGTGACTTTACCATTGTCAACTACCAATTTACCTGTGTCTTTACCATTGTCAACTACAGTTATAGTTGTATTTTTACCATTGTCAACTACTGATTTATGTGTGTCTTTACCATTGTCAACTACTGATTTTCCTGTGTCTTAACCATTGTCAATTACCAATTTACCTGTGTCTTTACCATTGTCAACTACAGTTTTACCTGTTTACATGTGCATTTACCATTGTCAACTAGTTTTACCTGTGTCTTTACTATTGTCAACTACAGTTTAATTGTATTTTTACCATTGTCAACTACTGATTTACGTGTGTCTTTACCATTGTCAACTACCAATTTACCTGTGTCTTTACCATTGTCAACTACAGTTATTGTTGTATTTTTACCATTGTCAACTACTGATTTAGGTGTGTCTTTACCATTGTCAACTACTGATTTAGGTGTGTCTTTACCATTGTCAACTACTGATTTATCTGTGTCTTTACCATGTTAACCATTGTCAACTACCAATTTACCTGTGTCTTTACCGTTGTCAACTACAGTTTTAATTGTGTCTTTACCATTGTCAACTACTGATTTACCTGTGTCCTTACCATTGTCAACTACAGTTTTACCTGTGTCCTTATCATTGTTGATTTAATCACTGCTAATTACAGTGTTACCTGTGTCCGTATCATTGTTGATTTAATACTGCTAATTACAGTGTTACCTGTGTCACTGCGGTCTTCCTGATTAACACACATCTTTGGCAGGTGTCTCAGACAGTAGACATCTAGGACTGTCGCATATAGCCTGGATTGCCTCCTACACTGTTGATCAGTCATGGTGGTCACAGCAAATATTACTCATTCCAATACAACATGTACATGTGCACAGGTGGTAACCACTCCTCACCACCCCCGTCTCGGGGACACAGCAGCGACAGGAACATATGACAGACATAGCGTAACAAAAAGTCATGTTGGAATGACTCAGTGTTAATAACAATCTGTATTTACCAAAGAAGCCATAACAATCACAACATGATTACCAATCTGAACCATGACACCAGCTCAACTGAGTTATACTGGGCCAACACGTGTCAAGATCACTAGACTCCAAACCAGTGTGATATTTCCTGGAAACAGCTGTGCAGATGTCGGGAGATGTGCAGCAATAAAGACTAGCAGAGGGAAGATACGCCGATGTATCTGTGGATTGCGATTTTTAACTTCTCGATACAATTATAGATCACAGTTGAACAAGTAAAAATATTGATTCATACCTTACTTGTCTGCTTTAATAACTGTTAAACCAATAATTACAAATGAAAGTAAGTGGTGACAACATCAATATTTTCATCCATTGTGTCACAATTTTAGTCACAATTTTTCTCTTTTTTTAAATATTTTGAGACTAAGTCCCTACAAATATATATTTAACCTCGAAGCAAAGCAAAATGTTATTTCCTTGCACTAAAAATAGACAAGGGGAACCCTGATGATAACAGACAAGTTGACTTTGTAAATAATATATATGAATATTGCTGATATTTTGTTGTACAACAAAGATTTATAAGGTACTTTATTTGCCGGACCACAGGGACTGGCAGTCACATGAAGTACCAGTCAAAGCCTAGTTTTACCGGTAAAAGACTGGTAATTACCGGAAAACAGGAACACTGGTTCTGATTAAGTTCAAGGTGGACATAGTGTCCCTTTTTGGGGCTAGAGGCAGCATTGTAACTGTCGGCAATACTGTTCACTGTGTTGCAATGTGCTGGACCCTACAATCAATTGCCTACCACACAAAGGAAGTTTTCAGTAAGGTACATCATAAAGCTGACTAGTGAAACCCATGTTTGACAGGGGCCTGATACACTTGGTGCAAGCATAACAATGAACTAATTGGCTGGATTGATCTCAGCTTTCAGCTGAATTCTGCTATCTGGGCCTGTTGAAGTAGATCTGATTCCGGAGTGCTGCTGCAGTCTAAGGCTGTATGCTGAGCGTGGCTGAAAGCACTGATTAGCCCCACAAGCAGCCAACTATTGCTTGATGGCAAACTGGAGCAGGGCGAGTCATTGTTTAGTCTGGGCTTTGACAGGTAACTTGTGATCATCTGTAAAATTTGTCACAATGGTTTAATATTTACCAGTTGAAGAAATATGGTAACAATATAATATGTCTCTGTAGATTTGTTGGAGTAGACTTAATTGGCGATGAAGTAGATAGTTCACTTTCTGTTGTATTTAGTCTATGTTTAAATGGTCCATCTGTAGGATGTTTGTGTCCTTGCACAAAATTTACATCTACGCACACACACGTTTCTAGCTAAACAAGTAGTGGGTTCTAACTTGACTGGTATCACATCATTACTGCTTTGATCAGGTGAACGGTTATTTCCTTCTAGGGATGTCACGATTCACCAATACATTGATGTATCAATAATACATGTATTCTCAAGTGATACGATATTTGATAATCACTTACCCGTATCGATTCATCTTTTAATCCGGCATCGTTTCACACATGGGTCAATCCATTCATATTAAATATATTTAATTTTCGGTGCACATGTGAGGTATTTCGCATATTTGCTTTTGTACTATTGTATTTAATATTAGAAAATACTTTTGTTGCCACTCCAATTTTATCTGAAATAAATTATTGTTTGTTTGTTGTTTAACGCCACACTCAGCAATATTCCAGCTATATGACAGTGGTCTGTATATAATCGAGTCTGGACCAGACAATCCAGTGACTGACATCACGAGTATCGATCCATGAAATTGGGATACAACGACATGCATCAACCAAGTCAGCAAGCCTGTCCACCCAATGCCGTTATTCGCCTCTAACGACAAGCATAGTCATAGTCACAAGCATGGGTTGCTGAAGACCTTTTCTTCACGGGTCGAAAT